GATGCATAGACAGCCGGGCTGATCATGTAGCTTTTGAATACAGATTTATCAAGACTCATTTGAGCAGCGATTTTTGGAGGAGACAAATCGCCTGTATGCTGCAGAAGGCCAGAGGTTAATGCAAGAGCGAGAGGTGGGTTGTATACGTAGATTGTAGGTTATTTTAACTAGATGCACTAGGATGAGATTATTGGACAATTTCTGCATGTTCAGGTGCCCAAATAACTGCTGACTACCTGAATACTTAATGGCCATGTTTACAGTCAATGGCTGTTATAATAGCCATTCTTTTTATTTATTTTTTTCTAAAAAAATTAACTGAGCACAACAACCGGGTCTCATACTGGGATTGGCATTGATGGAATAATGTGACCTCATTCTTGGGGAACACTGCTGAATATGCACCAATTATCCAATTTCTCATTTAGTATCTTAGATAACCCTATGTAGTGACTTATTTAGGGACAAAGCTGTGCATTTGTGAAAATGTCCTTATTATTCATTGTAAGAGATGCTTAACGTTCATATCTTATAGGTGCCAGAATACCTCCACCATGTGAACAAACGCTTAGAGGAGGAAGCAGACAGAGTGATTACATACTTGGATCAGAGCACACAGTATGTGAAATATTATATTTTATATTATATATTTATATTATATTTATATTTTAGTGTATGGGGTTGTAATTGAGTTTTTTATTATTAGATTAGATTATTATTATTTTTTTTATTTCTATTTCAGAAAACCGCTTATTGCCACTGTGGAAAAGCAGCTACTTGGTGAACACCTCACGGCTACACTGCAAAAAGGTACTCTGCTCTGGACAAAAAAAAAAAAAAAAAAAACATGTTGCTTTAGTATGTTAACATGTCACATATTTCTACTACTTTTTCCCATATATCATTCTTTAAATAGCATCAGCAGAGATATTTTAGAGATGCATCTAGCTTTTCCACTTCTGATATTGATATTGATACTTTTGGCTTGCAAGTATTTTCTTTAACCTAATACATTTCTTTCCATAAAACACAAATAACATTAGATAACTGATCCAATTGTGTAATGTAACTGTTGTTTATGCTTCAACTAACTGCAGAGCAATTAAAGTTCAAACATTATTATGGGATATTCTGGGCCAGTAAATAGTCAACATCAATTTATAAGTTCAAACAGGATATCGGCTGAAGCAATATCCTTGAGCCAGTACCCAATCCAGTCATTTTTTCTGGATCAGAGCTAATACCTAATACCACTGTTCATGTGGTGCTTTCCCTCCACTGTTGATGAAATCCTTAGGGCTGACTCACCTACTTGATGAGAACAGAATCCAGGATCTGTCTCTTCTCTACCAACTCTTCAGTCGAGTGCGAGGCGGTGTACAGGTCCTCCTCCAGCACTGGATAGAATATATAAAGGTACTTTAACCTAATACATTTCTTTTAGTCAAAGGCTTGTGTTTACATATTCCCCTTTTTTGATATTCTCTCCTGTCTGCAAAGGCTTTTGGTAGCACAATTGTAATCAATCCTGAAAAAGACAAGACAATGGTGCAAGAGCTACTGGACTTTAAGGACAAAGTGGACCACATCATTGATGTCTGCTTCATGAAGAATGAGAAGTTTGTCAATGCCATGAAAGAAGCCTTTGAAACATTTATCAACAAACGACCAAACAAGCCAGCTGAACTTATAGGTTTGTAGCAAGAAGTATTATATAAGATTCTTATCTTATATTAAGAATTTTATGTTAACACTTAAATTAATTACTATTAATGTTTTCATTATTTAACATATTCTGCAGCAAAACATGTAGATTCAAAACTCAGAGCTGGAAACAAAGAGGCAACTGATGAGGAGCTTGAGAAGATGCTGGATAAGATTATGATAATCTTTAGATTCATTTATGGTATGTCAACTATTTTTTGTTACTTATTCTTGTAATGCATTACAACATTATTGATTTTTGACTGTAAAATGTATATTAGGAAAAGATGTTTTTGAAGCCTTTTATAAGAAGGATTTAGCAAAAAGGTTATTAGTTGGAAAAAGTGCCTCTGTGGATGCTGAGAAATCAATGTTGTCAAAGCTGAAACATGGTCAGTATACTGCTGCAACATGCTGATTGTAAACAAAAAATATTCTAATAGTTATTCATTTACTTTTATTTTAAGAATGTGGAGCAGCATTTACAAGCAAGCTGGAAGGAATGTTTAAAGATATGGAGCTCTCTAAAGACATCATGGTGCAATTCAAACAGGTATCAACTATAAAAAAAAAAATTTGACACACCAGGTCTATAAAGTATTATGTGACATCTTACTCCATGTAACTCATTTACAATCAGTAGACTACAGCAAAGCAAATATAAAGATTATGGGGCTGATGTCTTTTTTCCTTAGTACATGCAGTGCCAAAATATTCCTGGCAACATTGAACTTACAGTGAACATCCTCACTATGGGTTATTGGCCAACATATGTGCCAATGGAAGTACACCTCCCCCTGAGGTCTGTTGAGCTTTTAAGTGCTTTTGTTTTTTACCTTTTGCTCTAGATTTATCTTATTTACTGTTTCCTTCATCCAGATGGTGAAATTGCAGGAAATCTTTAAAACCTTTTACCTGGGCAAACACAGTGGCAGGAAGCTACAGTGGCAATCCACTCTTGGACATTGTGTTCTGAAAGCTGAATTCAAGGAGGTATTCAGTGCACACTACATTTTCACGCTGTTACATTTTCTAAAGTGAGTTTTTTTTTTGTTGTTGTTGTTTTTTCATCTTAAGGGAAAGAAGGAGCTGCAAGTGTCACTTTTCCAAACATTAGTACTTTTGATGTTTAATGAAGGAGAGGAATTCACTTTGGAAGAAATAAAATTGGCAACTGGAATAGGTGTGTGTAAATTAAAGTTGTTGTTTTTTTCAGAGATAAGATTTTCACATTTAAGCCAATTGTATATTTGTGTAAATCCAGAGGACAGTGAGTTGCGTCGGACTTTACAGTCACTAGCATGTGGAAAAGCCCGTGTCCTTACTAAAATCCCAAAGAGCAAAGATGTGGAGGATGGAGACAAGTTTTCCTGCAACGATGACTTCAGACACAAACTGTTCAGGATAAAAATAAACCAGATCCAGATGAAAGAAACTGTATGCAATTCATTAATTTAATGTCTACTGAAGACAGAAATGTGCAGCTGGTCTGAATGATGTGTCTTCCAGGTGGAGGAGCAGGCAAGTACAACAGAGAGAGTGTTCCAGGATCGACAGTATCAGATCGATGCAGCCATTGTGAGAATCATGAAAATGCGTAAGACTCTGAGCCATAATCTCTTAATGTCTGAAGTCTACAACCAGCTCAAGTTCCCAGTCAAGGTGATTTTATAATATTTTTATTATTAGGTCTAAACTAGGAAATGGTTGCTTTGCACTACTGTTACTACTGTAACATTTTAACTGTAACATTATGTGCATGTATCGTACATTTGCAGCTTTTTATGTGCCACCAATCAGGGTTGCTATGACAGTCATATTTTCTTATTTCAGCCTGCTGATTTGAAGAAGAGGATAGAGTCTCTTATTGACAGGGACTATATGGAACGTGACAAGGAAAACTCCAACCAATACAACTACGTGGCTTAGGATAAAACACTGAAAAGCGATAGATTCAACCCTTACCACCTAAAGCTGTTCTCAAACATCGGTCTCCAAATCTTTTTCCTCAGCTGGAAAATAAAGGTTATCACCTCAACAATGTGACCGACCAACTGAATGGATACAGCTTTTGCCAGGAGTTTAGTGGTCCTGCAGACTGCATGCCCACTGAAAAGTGAAAAGTGTCCACAATTCTCAGTGCCTCTGAGAGAATACTTTGAACAGACAAAGACACACAGATGTTTCATTTGCTCTTTTGGAGGGGAAAATATTTATTTTGTATCTTTAGATCTTATTAATTGTATGCTCTTGGGTCACTTTTTGTTTGGGTCACTCTGCATCAACAAAATACTGATACATCTAACAATGCTCTTATTGTCCCTCACTTCAAAATTAAACTTGTGCCTGTTTCCTCGAGTGGTGTGAAATGTACAGCAATTGAATGCATATTTGTTTAAGTTTGTTGGTTTGCATTGACTCAAAGATGTGAACTAAGTAACTTAAAACATGGCCTATAATTATGATGAATGCCCGAGCTATGTGCCAAAAGATGCACTTGTAGATTGGATTGCACTGCCTAATTGAGTTCACGAATTTACATTTAGTATTCTATACAGCTTTATGCAGTGCTAAACGTATGTTTATTTTTTGTTTGTTTTTTTAGTTTTTGTAAGCACAAGAACGGTGCCCCCCCCCCGTACCACTTGTGTCAAACAACGGAAACACTGAAAGTCACTCAGTGCGGAGTGCTGATTTCGTTTAATGTGGGCAGAAAAGTATAACTGGTCTTAAACGATGGATTACTCTATTCCAATGTTTCAGTCTGGTAGGTTTATTGCTTCAGATTAAAAGATCTGATTTAATTGTTTTGCTTATTGTGTTTACTGTTTACTGCCAAATAATATGAAAAGTATATACAAAATCAGAAATGGATATAAATGATAGACATTATAAACACACAATTGTAAACAATAGTTCAGTAGAAGGAAGGTTTGTTTCATGCTTTTCTGCGCAGGTGACCGTAGACAAGAAGCTGAACTATCACTTTGCCTTCTTTGATGATTTAGTCTGCAGGTCATGTGTAAATTATGATATCAGACGAAACCTTTTCATGTATTTTAACTTTAATCCCATGGGTGTTGTTGTTCACACCTCTTTGGTTTGACACATTGCCCCCTGTCATATGACTGCTGCTTATTTCCTGGTCCGACGCCGCTGTCCTGAAGCAGTTGTCAGCTCTTTCCACAGTAGATCACTTGAAATCGACGCCCAGCCATGTCCCCATATGCTGCATTTGTCTTATTCCTTCTTATCGGCCTCGGTACGTGTACATGTTTTGTTTTGCACTGTTGTTGTTTGGACGCGGGATGAATCATGTTGAATAGGTGCGACCCAATGCGAACTTTTGGGGAAGAGGCCGCGGCTCTGTCCGTTCAGATATTATGAGAATCACGCTTCCTTGTCTGTAGCTTATATCTTCCAGTAAAACCGTGTACTTATGTTGGTTAAGCAATATTTTGATTGTATTGTGTTGTACTTAAATAAGGTTCTCGAAAATCGTGAAACTGCTGATAGCCTTCCGGCTAATGCTTACCTGCGTAACACGGGATTATATCAGTTGCGACAACAGTAGTGGTCTAAACAAGCTCGTACTGGTGTTAAATGATAAAAGTATTGTCTTAGGTTGCAATATTCAATTAGATGTAGCGTTAACGCTGACTTGATTCCGTTTCAGTTTGTGTAACCAGTGGTGCTAGCCTTATAAATGCTAGTTAACCTCAAATACTTCAAAAGGCGTTTGTGTAGTTAAACGCTTGTGTTTTATGTGTAATATATCTATATATTGGCTATATATACCTACAGTTAATAAATGTATTTTTTTTATTTTTTTTTACATCATATTCATCTATAATGGGTTACACAACGTATAACATAAGACGAACAGACAGGGCTAAAGTAGCTAGCCGCTAGCTTACCTCACTTCGCAGTTTAGTTTACAGTAAGTCACTCACGTGACACACGGACGGAGGCCAAATATCAGAGCCACCTCTCTTGAACCATTCATATGCAGCTATTATGTGGTAATTCGGTTAATGCGCTTAAGTTTATTACATGCTGTTTTTGAGGTGTTTGGCCATTGATTATGCATAGGGATATACCAGAATTTTTATGAAGTTTAGTTTGGTTGTGTGGTAGATCTTTGAGTTTTGTCTAGGACCTGAAGCACGTGATTCTTCCCCTCTGTACAGTATTCAGATTTAACCACACTAAATTTGAAATTTTAAAATCTATGTATTTCAGGAGTATGTATCAATTATTTTGTCTTTTTGTGCAGCTGATCCCTCTTCCCTCAAGTATGATCCTGACATGGATGACGCCATTAGCACTTTGCTCACCACTACCGTAGCTCCAACAACGATTACCACGACCACGGCGTCAACAACCACGGCGTCAACAACCACGGCGTCAACAACCACGGCGTCAACAACCACGGCGTCAACAACCACCACAACAACCACGGCGTCAACAACCACGGCGTCAACAACTACGGCGTCAACAACTACCACAACCACCACTGAGGCGCCAAAAACCACGACTAGTTCTCCAAACACGACTTCTTCTGCCCCAAATACCACTTCTACTGCGCCTACTACCACCACCCCTGCACCAACTCTCCCTACTCCCACCTCCAATCTTTATCGAGTCAAAAATGACAATGTCACCTGTCTGATGGTCAAGTTTGGTCTTCGTTTTGGTTATCAAGGAGTTGTAAGTTAAAATAGTTTGAACACATTTCACTGCATTTTTACTTAATATGCAAGTATCTGTCTTGTATTTCTTTAGAAATATGAGGAGATGAATTTTGAGCTCACGAATCAAACTATTGTCAATGGGTCTTGTGGGGTGAACAGCAGTGAACTGTTGATACAAGCTGACACACTGACCCTCAAGTTTACCTTCAAAAATGTAAGTCTATACTTTGAATTTCATTTTTGTTGCATTGCTTTAATATTTATATTGTTACTAAAAAGTAATTCATGGTAATCATGAACTAGATTCAGTAGTTAAACAATGTCTACTACGTCTTTCCGTGAGTTTTCGGGCTTCCTACTTCTTACCACGTAATCAACTCACCCAATGTGTCCTCTTAATCAGTACGGTACCAAAACGTACCAAAATACATTTCTTTTTGACTACAGGTTTTATTTCTGGAGGATGCTGGAAGAGCAAACTATATAAAGTTACTTGGCAGTTTGGCCCCAATTAATTGAGAAAACCACCACTGTCTTATATTGAATTTATAAACATTATTATTCTCATTTGTTTTTCTAGGTCCGGGGTGGGCAATTATTTTTTTTCATATGGGAATCATAAAATAAGGGCCGGGCCACAATACTTAACTCTAGGGGTGTGCAAAAATATCGGAATATTGATATATCGTATCGTTTAATGTGATGATACAGTATCGATATCATGGGCTACTGTATCCATATTTCACCAAGAGTATTTTTAGGTGTGTTTTACTAAATTATTTTGTTACAGTGCTACAGTTTTGTTGCTTGTGGAGTGAAAGGAAGCTCATTTATGCAACACATTTGACATTTTTACTGTTTTGAGGATTAAAATGTTTGTGTTTCATATGAACTTTGCACAAGAAGTGATTTAACAAAGCCTTTTAGTATCACAGCCATGATTTAGCCTTTATTTTTTATTGAACCGTATCGAATCGATTTGAAATATATCATATCGAACCGAAAGTGCACTGTATCGAGATATGTATCGTATCGCGACCTATGTATCGTATCGGCAACTCCTTAATGATACCCAGCTCTACTTAATTCATTTCTGCATAATATTAATTGTACGCACATATCTTGATTTACGCATTGCGTCATTTTATAAATGAATAAAAAAAAAAACCAAAAACTCTAAAATAAAAGCAATGCATCTTTTGTCCATGCATGAGGTAAAATGATAAAATATGTTTATTTTGTAATTCCAAATTAGCTTAAACAGGCCGGTCAGAGTCAGCCAAAGGGCCGTATGTGACCCAGGAGCTGTACAATTCCCAGGTCTGTTCTAGGTAATGACTGGTACTTAATCAGTACCTTCATATGCATTAGTCAGGTAATGGTACCAAAATGTAATATTACACCTAAAAAATTAAAAGAGACCCAGCCCTACTAGTGACATCCTGAAAGGCATCGCTGAGCTGTGTAAGCTTATGAAAAGGAAAGATCAGGAAAAATCAAGCTGCTGCAAATGCATGTAAATTTTTTTTTCCTGTATTAGGACACAAAGAAGTTCAGCCTCCATGCGCTAAATGCCACTGGAAAGACGAGCTCTGGTAATTTTGACTTGTCATTTTTTTTAATGATTTCACTGATTTCATGTTTGTGACGTGACTGTTTTGGGTTTTGTTTTGAAGGTGTGCCATTCACAGAAGCCAACAGCAACTTGACCCTCTGGCAAGCAACTCTTGGCAACTCCTACATGTGCAACAAGGAGCAGAATTATACTATCACCAAACAGCTGACAATCTTCACCTTTGAACTCCAAGTGCAGCCATTTGGAGTCAGAAAGGATTCTTTTAGTACGGGTAGGTGGTCTTGAGTTTTTTTTTTAAGTCACCATTATGCAGTCCTAACTTGATAGGCTGTATTATGTTGTATTTGTCTATTTATACAGTTTGGTATAAATGCTAAGTGTCAAGTAGCGATTTAAGACCTCTGACCTCCCCAGACCATATGTTGCACCTTGTGACTCATTCTCCTTTTATCTGCAGCCCAGGAGTGTTCTTTGGATGACACCAGCATCTTAATCCCAATCGTTGTTGGCGCAGCCCTGGCTGGCTTGATTCTCATTGTAGTGATTGCATATGTGATTGGCCGAAGAAAAACTTATGTCGGATATCAGACTCTTTAATTCCAATTGTAATAGGTCAGTTTCAGGGTTTCCAAGCATGGTCCTTATGCTTTCAAAAGTTAATAATGCATTATCAATGAAACCAAACAAAAAAAAAAAGCTTTTGTTGGAAAATGTGTCAAATCAAAAACAAGAACAGCACATTGTTTGAATATGAATGGTCTTGGATTATTATAAATTAGCCCTATATTTGCTTCACAAGGACCAATCTTGTCTACCCAGTGTTAGTCCTCATTTCTGTCTTTTTTTTTTTTCCGTGAATAATAAGGCGTGTTTAAACTATCAAATTGGTATGCCCAGTATACTTCAACACTTCCAAGATCATACACTTTCTCACAATTAATCATTCCCCCTTGTTTTATGTTAAAAGCTTAAAACCTCTCAACAAGCAACATTCTCAAAAGCCCATTTCACTTCTGTGTTATTAGAAAATGTTAACTAGTGATGGCCTATTTCATATGGTAAGAGGGAAATGGTCTAATGTTTTCTCCTGCTGAGCAGGTGTAAACATGGCATTAGTACAGCTTTGTTGTATACATGGGAAATTTAGTAATTACCCTTGTGTTAAAAAGTGCATAAGGTGGAATTAAATAGAGGACACCAAGAAATTGAATTTACCTGACACTGTTGTGCCCCATCAAAATTATAAGTCAAATGTCGGTTAAAAAAGGTTTCTCACTCTTGCACAAGCTGATGCATTCAGGTCAGCTGTTTTATTTGCTATCTTAGTACTTTTGGCATTCTAGGTATTGAAAAAGGGATTGCTTATTGTGTGGATTATCACTTTTCATCTTATTTGAGAAGTAATTCTGTTGCACTAAGTCTGTTTATTGTAGTAAATATATGCCATTGTGTTTTTGTGAGGGAGGTCCACTTTATGCTCTAAATTCTGTAGCTTCACTTCAACGGGCTTTCAAAGACTAAGCCTAAATATTGGAATGTTCGATGAGAAAAATATACTATGGTTGAGAAATGAGAACAAAAATATCTTAATATTTCCTGAAATATAATATCTGGTAATTTGGCGAGCAATTTGTTGAAGAGTTCAGAAAAATCAGGGTGAAGTGCAGCCTCCAAAGAACAGTTTTTTCTTAAGATAGTAAGACAATGCACCACGACAGCTGCTGTGTACTGTCAGCCCTAGAGCTCGGAGTTTGGAGCTGGGCACACATGTATTTGTGAACAAATGGAATTGTATGCCTTTTTAATGTTGCGTAACATATTGAGTGGAGCCTGTTGTGTGTATAGTTACTCTCTGAAAAGAAGATTTTGCTGTATGCTGACTTTGCCTTAATTTCACTTGGTGGTTTTGCAGCACTAAGACTTGTAACCAGTAAACCAAGCCATCATACATTTAATTTGTTGTCTCTATTAGATCGTACATATTTCTGATATTGAAATGTGTTGAAACTGTCTTTTTTTTTTTTTTTTTTTTTTTTTTTTTTTTTTTGCTTTTTGCTTTTTGTTTGTTTGTTTGTTTTTGTTAATTTGGAAAAAAACAAAACATAATAACAATAATAAATGTAAAGGGAACTGTGCAGCAAGACCTTCTTGATGAATATCAGCACAGCTGATTTAATCTCCAATCTTAATACAATAAACTGGATTGAAAATGGTGAACTCATTGAAATGCATCATTTAAATTGTCTTGTTCAGTGTCCCGTAGATGTTCCTGTTTCTTTCTCCCTCTACAGGTCCAGTTATGGTCTGGTCATTTTCCTTCTACTTTAACAACAGGCTTCCATCTACTTTAGGCTACTACTTTTTCAGTATTTTCCTTATTTATTAACCTCCTGAGACACTCACTCTTGTGCTTTCTTTACCCTAGCTGAGGACTGCATGCCTGCTGGGGAGAGCTTCATAGTTCCCATAGCTGTTGGAGTTGCCCTGCTTGCTCTCATTCTTATCGTTCTGGTGGCCTATTTCATCGGAAGAAAGAGAAACATGGCCAGCGGTTATGAGTCTTTTTAATTTGACTTGCTGCCTTCAAATAATTCTGACCACTGTAGTGTTTGTGTACTGCGCTGTGCCATGTTGAAGTCTTACATTTCTTTGAGGATGTTTGAATTTGTAATTGCTGCTTTGACTAAATTTCCGGATGCTTCTTACCCCTGAATGCCACACTGCTTGTTTTTGTGTTGGTAACCCCTATCCCAATCTCTTGCGCTTTTTACTAATCTACTCTCTTTGTCTTTTGTCTGTCAGCTGAGGAATGCTTCCTGGACTCTGATTTGAGCTTTTTGGTCCCCATTGCAGTGGGCGTGGCCCTCAGCTTCCTAATCATCCTTGTGCTTATCTCTTATCTGATTGGCCGGAGGAAGAGCCGCACCGGTTACCAGTCCGTATAATCTCTCCTGTGTCCTCCCCCTCCCAAATTAAAAAAACTCCCCTGCTTCTTCCCCTTTCCATTTGATGAGTTGCTATCACCAAAAGTCAGTTTAACTATCCTGTCACCCCTCTTTTAAAATGTTTCCCCCTAAATTCCATATCTTAAAAGTAAATTACTGATCACGTTCAAAGATAATGACTGATTTGATTTAGACTGCATGTTTACAAGAACACAATTTTTAAGATCACCGGTTTCCCTATATGGGGGGGGGGTGTATTATAGTATGTGTATATGAATCTTGTATGAAATGAATGACAAACCTTTGAATGAGATAAATGTATGAGTGAGCGAGTGAATAAATCATTTTCATATCTTAAACTGTTGATCATGTAATGAAAACATCTAATGCTCAAATTGTAGTTGGAATAAAAGGGACATACTTAACCAGTCACTTTACTTGCAATGGGACCGGCTGTGTTCCATAAGGGAGATTTTTCCGCAAAATTGCACATTTTCTTTAAGTACTTTGATCAATATCAATGTCAGTTGGAGTTATTTATTTCACCATGAGAGTGATTGCACCTAACAGATTAAGCTAACTAATGTAATAGCCTATGACTGACCATCTTCTGCTTGTGCCTCTTGCATTGCTTGCTTGAAGATTGTCTCCACCTGGACAATGTGTAAAGATATGCTTGTTTAACCCAAATGAGAGACAGTTTCAATAAAATTTCATTCTTTTGTATGGCTGTCTTGGTTTTATAAATTAACTGTTGTAGTTAAACTTTGACCTATGGTTTTAATAAGTCACAAGGGAGCATGGTGTAACTTTTGCTGACCTCAGACAGGTAAGCTTTAGTGGTTATAAAAGTCACATGGATAAACTGAAATGACTTAGAATGACAGACATTAGTAAATTGTGTTTTTAAAAGAGGACAACAAATGAATGACTTATAGATCTTTATTACAAACAATACTATATTCTGAAAAAAATAAAGTAAAAGTATTTGCAGTATTTATTATTTACTGTGTAAGTACAGTACAAGTCCTGTTTGCATTCATGGAGTTCTTGAAATATGCAGGGTTGGAAAATAAACACATTAGTCCAATTCATGACAAACATGTGCAAATAAAACCACATTGTATTACAAACTTAAATCAAGAAAGGTTCTAATCTATATATGTTCAGGTCAGACAATAATTTGCATAGTCAGATATACTAACTATTGGGCTAGTGGGATTAATATTTCTATTAAAGACATGAGCTGAAACTCACTGTAAGTCATGGTCATGAACTTGTGACTGAAGGTGCCAATACACAGAGAGACAATAGATCTCTAAAACCCAGCAGCAGATATTCATAAAGGCGGAAGAAGTTGTAATGTGTAGTATAATATTGATCAGGCAGACAGCTATTAGATGCTTTAAACTTAAACAGATATTTTGTGCTGCCATGTTGTTGTGCTTTGTTGTGTTGTAGGCAGGATAAGCAGCGATGGACTCGCCTTATGCTCCAACCACCAAAGAGAAGGTAACACTGCCCAGGTAGCGGTCAGTGGGTGAATCATTGATGATACCTTTTCCATTGAGTTTGCACTGTATTTGAAGGGGTGTGTCATACTGCACTGAGGCGAAACGCACCGCTATCACTGGTGATGAGTAGTTTACCTAAAGAAAAGACACACATACAAGATCATGGGACCATAATACAAATTTCAAACAAATATATTTTTTCTTACTTACGTGTCTGAGTTTTCCATAGTAAGGATAGTACTTCAAATCAAAAATACTCTTTGGAAAGAACTGTAGTTGTCCAAGGGCTTCAGGTGGTCCTTTCTAAAATTAAGAGGAAAAAAGGCATAAAGAAAAGTACTGAAATGCTGCTGGCAGCAAATCAGAAAACAATACCTTGACTTCACAAGTCACGTTTATTGGTTTGCCTTCCCCAGGTAAGTATCCAAGAATCTACAACAAAGATGTGATTATGTAAATGATTAATATTTATACATTTTACGTTACTATTCATAACTATACCAGCACTTAGAAATACAACACCAGCATGACTTAACACTGACAGTGCATAATGGCTAGTAACACTCTAGCCAAGAAATATCAGTTACAGGCTTGTAACTCTCACTGGCCAATATTTATTGTATGCATATTATTATATTATTAACTTCTAAAGATGTAATTTTTGGCCCTATTTATTGGAAATGTATTACATGAAGAGGGTGAAAAAATATGCCTAAAAAACTTATCCACTTGTGTGTCTAAAGATGACAACATGCAATGCATTAAAAAAAAAAAAAAAAAAAACTTGCTTTGCTAGTCAAATTAGTAACAGTAAGTAGCATTTGAAAAATTTAAATCCCAGCTTTAGGCCAGATGTCTTACCCGGTTCATTCGAAGTAGGATGCATGGTCTTCCCTGAGAATAGCCATAGTGGGGGTCCTGCATCCCAGAGCATTCCCCCAACCAAGACCTTTTAAACTGGCATGCTTTCCTCTCCTCATCCTCCCTTAGATCGTCCTGCATGAAATACTTCCCATCCTGTGTGCAGCGGATATTCTTCCTGTCCTGAGCTCCATCGTTGTATGCTGGGAGTGAAGCACAGAGGAGAGGTGACTGGGTGGGCCCACAAAAGGGGGAGGGGCGTAAATAAACCCTATGCCCTGCCAAACTTGAGGCTCTGGTTAAGGAAGTCAGACAAAAGCAGGGTGTGAAAAAGAGTGCTGAATGGCTGATCACAAAGAGGCTTTCCTTCCCAGCATGCTTTGCAAAATACTAATGAAAGGCAGGCCAGACCTCCCACCATTATGATTATTACGTCTACAGTTACAATCTTATTTCTCTATGTAACTCACGTCTTAAATGTTCATCCATTGATCGTGCATACTTCTTCCAGGATCTTCGCTCAGAGGCATTAAAGTGGATGTCATGACCTTCCAGGTGTGGAGCCATCGTCATACCTGCCAGTGGAGACGCAAAGACAGTCAACTGTGCTGAGACCCAGGTACAAGTAATGAACACAAGGACAAGTTAACACAGCATTACTACATTTATGAAACACCTCTAAGGAGGGAGCTATACTGTATTTACCTGGTGGCATCACTCTGTCATTGTAAGTTGGATGATAAGGACTAATGGACCACATTAGACAGAACACACAGCCTCCAAACATGGCCGCAAGAAAGGCATAAAGTGCAGCATAGAAAAGTAGGATGAGGCCTGAAAGAGAGAAGAACAAGCATTTACATTAGTATGTAATTTGCTTTAAATCTATATAAGGCCCTACAGTAATCCAACAAATTAACATAGTACTGTGGCACATTTGACTAACATTCTATTAGCAATTAATCAAGCCAAACGTGCTTTAAATGTAATAGCTTTTGCTGTGGAGGCAATTTCACAGGGGACTAAGCGTAGCCAGCCTTGCGTCTCTGTAGTGACAAAGGCCTTACTGTTTAAGCTCAGTGAGAATTCTCCCAGCTGTCCATTCACTCAGGAACAGAGTGAACCTCCGGTTGCCATCGTAGTGAAGGTCTTTTGCAGCCATAGAGGCCCCGCCAGCTCCAAGGAGCCCCAATCACCCCACTTCGGTATTATGTCACTTATTACACAGGACACACAACGCCGACTTCAACCTCAGGTCCTTTCTTCCTCAGGCACAGGGGCCCCATGCTGCACAAGTGTGTGCACTCTGGTTAGAGCTCCAACTGGCTGTGGGCTGGATATTGGCCTTATCCTGGTATAACTTGCTATATTATCTAAGCTTATGGCTAGAAATGCAAAATGCATTTACATCACACAGTATCTTAATATCAGCTAATTGTCCCATCGTTAACACTTAAAACATTAAATATTGTATCTGAAAAGCCAAGTGCATGTACAAGTTCAATGGTGAGGTCACCAGGGCTTTGGGAAAGAGGCAGAGAAGAGCATGGTTAGATGCAGAGGAATTTGATTTCTGTCCAATCCAAGGCCCAGGACAGTACAGCCCCGCTGCGGACATGTCCCCAGGCAGTCTGTTTTTGTCGGGACTGTCCGAATTGTCCATGCACCTAAGTAAACACTGTGCATGACTCACACACAGTGAGCCTTCTTGTCACTGGACTGAAGAGAAAGCTGTATAGACACCAAACCACTGCAACTGCTCTTGGCACAATATTAAAGGATCTTATTGATTAAATTACATATAACAATTATGTTAACTCACTCCAGCTCTTTCCAGAGCGGCCCATAAATTCCTTGGTCTCTGCATTCCACAGGTATGTCTTCAAGTCATCAATTTTCTGGTGGAGGGTTCTCTGAGGTAATGGTCTACGCTTGAATCTTTCAAAGTTGAGGTCTTCCTGCTCCAGCGGCTGGTGCTCAGCCAACTCTTCCTGCTCTTCCTCCAGCTCTTGGCCATGTTTGAGGATTACTTTGTGTGGCTGAAGAGAAGAAGAAGAGAAAGACCTTCAGCAGACTGTATATAAAAATATACCTCTTCTTCTTTCTCTTCTTTATACAGTCTATGGTGCTAGTGCAGCCTCTCTCTTATTTCCTACTCTCTTGCTCTTTTGCTTTCTTACATTTAAAGTGTATCTCTCTTGTAGCTAGTGTACATCCTCAACCTTCTTTTGTCACTGTTCTGTACCACTCAGTTTTGTCTCAGAAAATAATAATAATAATAATACAGTCTATGTTTGCAATGGGGTAATCCTGACTGAGTTACTCCTCAATGGTCCATAGCTTTGGGACCAAGATGTTCCATTGTCTGATACACAATATTAACCTCTCTCCCTGGACCCTCCTGCTTGACACAGCTGTAAGCAACAGAACAGAAGGGCACTCAGACCACACAATACTCAAGCGACTCTTTCACCCTATATTCACATTTAAACAAAGTGATCAACAGCAGGGCTAATGAACAGTTGCATGTACAGACTCACCGGGCTTCTGGAGAGCTTGACTGGTTTCACTTCTTCTTCTGGAGGTTGAACTTGTTGAGTCTGAGCTTCTGCTTCTCCCTCTGTGGGGGTCGGCTCCATGTCCGCCACAAAAAGGAAAGGTACTCCTTACAGTCCTCTCTAATAAGTTAAACATTGTCAAATATACAAAGACATATTGCTCCTCATTTTTATTGGAAGATTAAAAATAACACTGAGAAAATGAAAGGACAACACATACCTTAAGTGTTTTTTTTTTTGTTTTTTTTTGTTTTTTTTGTGCTTTCCCAAGCACCTCTGATTCCTAAAAGTAAAAAAGAATGTCAAAAAGTCTTTGAAGATTTCATTAGAAAGTTTTAGGTGATGAATAAAGAACCTCCTTCAGCTAGGCGCGCATCGTACTGAATGGAGGCTGAGCAGTGAGAGAGAAACTGGGGGTGGGATAACTTTTTTTCCTCACAGAAACGTTTTGGCAGTGAGTGACCTGGGCCGAGGCACTGAATTCTGAACACACACCATCACCCATTGTCTATTAAGCTTGGATAAGCCCGCATTTGAATACAATATTTATTGCCATTTCCAGCACAAGACAATTGGTCAGCAATGTGTTACTGCAGGCCTATAATAAAACAAGTGCAATTTACATTTTTATTGAGTGTGGGCTATTTCTGAGAGTGGACAACCAAAGAAACATTTGAGCCATGAGTGATGTTCATTGCACATGCATGCATACTGATGTCTGTTGCCAACACCAGCAGCCCTATAGACTCTGGCGGCAGCTGCTTACCATAAGCACAGCTCTGGTGGACCTCAAGGAGCTCCTCATCCCCGCTCTATCTGCAGTCCCTTCACGTAGCCCTGGTCCCCTGTGTAAAGAGGAGGGGGAGCTTTTTTACCATGAAAAGAAGCAATTGCGTCATGGAAAAAGCTCCTATAAAATTTGTGGAGTAAAAACCAGTTGAGTCCCACTAACATGAAAGTTAGTCAGTTATTTCCATCAGTTAAATGGTATCACATTTGCAGACCATGGTTTAAGAGCCACTTGTGGCTCTTTAGCAATGATCATGGATTTCATTAGAGGCATCCTGCATCATTTTGTACTTTACGTACTTCGTTGTTCAAGTGCACATTAGTTAGATAATTAATGTAGTGTGATCAACTCTTCTCAGGAATCTTGTGGAACAGCTTTTGTGTCCGGTGTCATGGGTTGCTACTGTCAGCAGGTGGAGCCCTATAAATACTCTGCAATGATGGTCTGCTTTGAAAGTTCTTGCCAGGCTGTGATCAATCGGTGTTATGCTTGTAATGTTTTTTCTCAAATGGGAAATAAATAAATAAATAAAGGAAAAGTTCATGTGAATATTTTTTGTAATATTGGCATTAAAAATAAATAAATAAAAAAAATAACTCCAAAATGCTGTGAGAAATTTTATTTATACCTTTAGAATACCCCAAATCACTCATAGAAGATGCAAACAAACCAATAACATGTAAATATACCCCATGTCTTCAGGGAAATATTAGGTCTGTGTTGCTGCTTTGTAGCGCTTGCTATGGATCAATTAGCAGAGAAGTAATGTATTATGCCTCCCTACCAGAAAGCGCAAAATTTGACCAAGATTATGTTTCAGAATATATATTTACTGAAATAAAGATTGACCCTTCATCCCAGTCACCTGACCGGATCCCGTTAAGAAATGAAGTTTTCGTTGCTTTCTAGATAATTCCAATTGCCTATCCATTTTTTTTTTTTTTTTTTGTATGGCGCAAATTAGGCTAAATTGCGCTAGAGCGCAGGGTCCGTCACCTACTTGAAGATGATGTTATTGCTTTGCCTGGAACGTTTCATGGTATGACATTAAATACATCTATCCAGCATTTATTCATTACGGGTTTCTATTGCTCAAAAATAATTCTCTCAGTGATTAGAGTTGCATCTCCACAGATCTGACATGTAATATAGCATATAGTTGTTTTTCCTTGAGACAGATAGGTTTAATCTCTACCTTGGAACATTCCAGGCAAAGCAGTAACATCTTCATGAAGACAAGAAGGTCACGGAGCCTCTACCAGAAAAGTTGCGCAATGCACCTTTAAGTGAAAGCTTTTTATGTAAGGTTAAACGGGTTGATTATCAACCATAACTGTAAAGAACAACGAACGCTCTACATTTTTCGCCTTACAACTAGTGACATGCGCACACAGGCACAGTCAGCAGCCGTGACTAAAGCCTTCCCCATCCAACCCTGAGGATCATTCAACACCAACAGAAAGCCAGCGGGAGCCTGCGGCGGCAGCGGGGATGCAAATCACGGATCAACTGAACGGAGATAGACGGACAGACAGAGGATGCCACAGCTCATTGGCCCGCCGTGTGCGTCTGGTCATGAGTGTAAACAATTAGCCTCTTTTTCCTACACTGCGTTCCAGCTTATGTGAGTAGGCTACACAGCCCCCCAAGGAGAAGGGTCCAACTGCCAGCATGCCTCCTGTCCAGAGCCTGCAGTCCAGCGGGCTCTCTCTTTCCGAGACGAGCATGGGTAGGTGTGTGCAAGGTCAGCGCGTGTCTGCACGGTCTGCACACGCTTCAATTAGCTCACGCAGTTCGCTATATGGGGGTTTTAAACAAGCAGTGATATTTGTTCAAATTATAACTTAAAATATTATAGATAGCTGTAGGTCTTTGTTGTGTCTTTGTTGAAACGGAAAGACACTCGTTGCATCACCATTTTTTGGCCGCAGCGCGTCATTGCAGGTGCAGCGACTATGACAGCAGAGTATGTTTTCCTCTGCTCTGTCGTATGGTGAGATAGGCCGTCCTGCCTGAGAGCTCCTGGCTGTAATGGTGATATGTCAACCAGCAAACACCGCGTGCGTGAGCCAAGAGCGATACATCAGATATAAACAACTTACAGGGCCGTCCACATTAAAACCACGTGTAGGCCTAAACTCAACCATGTGCCCCACCATAGTACCCACCAGTTTCCTTAATGGAATTTACACACTACTAGACCTGCCAATAGGCTGGCAGGGACAAGAGTTCAAACTAGAGTTAACTTGCTGCCTTCGGTCTTACTAATCAGAAAAGTCAAATTTTGAAAATGACTTTGTTAATCATTAACAGAAAAAAAAGAACATTTGTCGTGCTCTAACACTCCTGGTTCATTATGTCAGAGCCCTGGCTTGTTCTATTTGACTAATTTCTGAAAAAGAAATAGATAAAATAATAATAATTTGTAAAATACTGGGTAATTAACAATGATTACTAAAACAGAATAGCCATTTAAGGGAAATCTGAAGACAAGCATACATAATCTACAAACAAATGAACAATATTTATCCCCACATAGCAATATTATTTGCTTGTTTTTCCAGGTTCATTCAAAAGGAGGAAGAGGAAATCCATTATTGTGACAGTGATGTTGCTCATTGTATCTGTGCTCATACTTGTGTTTGGATTGGCTGCCACCACACGCACACAGAACATCACAGTGGGCGGCTACTACCCTGGAGTCATAGTGAGTGCACAGCAACTCTGACACTGTGGAAGTGAGCTCTTCCCAAACTACTAACCACTGTCTCTAAGGGGTGACTTTCACCAGCATTCATTATTCAGCATCATCATCATGGCTAAGTGAAGTCTAGTATTGCTCCATAAATTAGCTTACTTCACAGCACTCAGCTTTAAACATTATACTTAAGAAATAATAGAAATAACAGGTACAGGTACAGAAGATATTATATTATGTAAAATATAAAAACATAACTGGAGTTGGTTTTTGTTTCATTTCCACATGTTTGAGTAATCCTGCATTATTAGTCCGTCTACATCTCCAAAGATAAAAATACTCTGTTCCACCTTGTGATAGCATGTAGTGGTAGTTTTCAAGTTTACAGCTACCTTTTGCCTTTTGTTCAGTAGAGATGGGTAATTTTAAAGCCAAAATTATCCAAATTATTTTAGTGAAGATGAATTGAGTTTAAAATCAAAGTAGAGCACTTCCTGTATGAATAGAGTGCGTTCTGTTTGAGAGAAGAACTCACTAAATTTGCAGGGTTTGTGTATTAAACATGTGTGAATGAAATGAAACACAACTATGTATGTGTGTGATGAAGAAACAACATTATAGCATATATCAGAAATTAGTGTGCCCTTTAAGCTTAACATTGTCATCTAAGTGGACTCCTGAAGGAAAATTTGTGTGTGTGAAAGCAATCATGTAAAACTCAGAGAAAAAAAAAAGAGACTCTTACATTGTTTTTTGTCAAAATTGTATGTCTTTCCACAAAACCTACTGTGTTATGAAACAGAAATTGCACAGGTAAATTGACAGGGATTTCTTTAATTTATGTGAAAATTGATTATTTGTGTCACACATAATTCACTAATTCATTAAGAACTATCACTGACTGAGTAGAAAATACTGAGTAGGTCAAATAATTTGATAATTTAAGGTAAACAGAAATATATATACTTTCACTGTCTAAGTATGTATTGTCAAGGAGCACCAGATATGAATGAAAGCAATAACAGATTTTTTCTTCTCTTTTCAGCTTGGTTTTGGCTCATTTCTGGGGATTATTGGTGCTCATTTGATAGAGAACAAGAGGCAAATGGTAAGAAGCATTTTATAATCTACTTTCTTCTTGGAATCATGAGTTTTCTTTTTTTGCATGAGAATTTAGAAGATGAGTCTAACTTGCCTTATGCTAGGATTTACTTTTCAGCAGGTGTAGTGTAGAATTTGGTCAAACAACAGTTAGTGCACAACTCCTGGAGGTTTGTGTTGTCTATCAGAGAAAGTATCCCTGGAGCTGGACTGGTGATGCAGCTAGAAATAGACGAGTGAAAGGAGAGGAGGACAGACCATGTTCACGACGGAATGTAGGGACGGAAACTACAGATGAGAGGGGTGGGAGGTGCTGGGCTGTCGTAGCCAAAGTAAAGAATGAGTTTGCACTATGACATCTTTTTCCATTATACTGCAGTCTAAACATGCTTGTCTCAGTGGAATCCAGTTTGTCTCACTTTCTGTACACTCTTTATTACCACAAAGTATCATAATTATAGCAAATGTGTCTGTGATCGTTAGACTAATGATTGTATCATTTAACCACTATCTTCCATAATATTGAATCAGAACTGATTTATATTAAATTATTATGAAATTAAATCAAATACAGATATGAAGTTGTGAGATTCAGTAACTCAGATAACACAAGTCAAAAGTGTAATGAATAGTTATATTTCTTTAGTTCTCTGCGTATGTGACCCCAAGCCCCCCAAAAAAGGAATAGGATGTCTCAGTAGCAGTAAGGACATGTTGTAACAGGCCTGAAGCAGTATGCCAACTTCTGTGAAGAAGCCAGCAACCATGGAACGTTCGTGCTGTAATAAATAATATGAATTAGCAATTTATTTGATGCTTCTTTACATGTGCCACACTGTATGTGCATAGATTCTTTTAAATTAAATAAATATTAAAATAAGAATCCATAAAAAGAAAGAAAAAATAACAATTACAATAATTAATAAAGAAAGAAAACAGAGACAGCCAGGGTTCTTTCTTTTTTCTTTCTTTCTTTTTTTTTTTTTTTTTTTTTTTTTTTAACAAAAATGCTTTATATTTTGTTTTTTACCTTACAGTTACTCCATGCTTAATACCATTTCATTTTCTGGACCACTGTTATAGTTAATATAATCAGGGTAGGCTTTGAATTTTATTATAGGTTAAGGTCTGGCCTGACATATTAAAAGACATCCTCTCAGGCCTGAAGGCCATTTTAACCAGTTCTGTGAACCATAATACTGGTTTGAATAAACTCTTATGATGAACATTGACTGGTCTTTTGCTGATCATTCTGAATATAGAGCCATAATAAACATTACTATCAAATGCAACATATCCATATATTCATCAGCAACTTCTGTATGTAAGGCTATAGTGTACAATTTGCTCTGAATCTCCTATGTCGGATGTGCATGCTACCAGGGTGGCTGCACAGGGTGGGGTGATGTGTAATTGAATACACACCATCTCTCATTGAGGAGTGAGGGGAGGACAGAGAAGCAAATGGGGAAGAATGAACGTTGCAGTGCCCACAAGAAACTAGGCACTCTGCCAGACTCGGACAGGAGCAAGGGGACAGCTCCAACTCCTGTTGTCCTTTGTTCAACCTAGAGCTCCTATTCAAGCTGTGCAAAAAGTAGTAGGTTACACATTAGGTTTACATATAATGAAACAGTAAGGCATTTCTGTAGTGTTGTGTACTAAATTTACCTTGAAACATTATGAGTAGGTTGTGTTCATGTGTTCAATGCACACATGTTTTGACAACACAATCAAGTTTTAGTGCTGTCATTTGAAAGTGGACCAGGTCCCAACAAAAAAAAAAGCCTTATCATCTGTTTGTCTTACAGCTTGTGGCATCTATCGTCTTCATCAGTTTTGGTGTGGTCGCCGCCTTCTGCTGTGCTATTGTAGACGGTGTTTTTGCTGCAAGGCACATTGTAAGTATCAGTTACAATAAGTTACGGTTAAAATATGCAAATAACACATTGTCATTTAAACTGATAAATCATCAATATAGAGTTCACTTATATTTGGGAAACTAAAAAATAAGTGAATTCCATCAAATCTCATTAAGTCTCAGAATTACATAGTTAAATACATGCCCTTCTGAAAGGACAGTACACAAAGTGCGGTTGGAAAGCAGCTCCACCCTCACCAATGGGATTTTCTTGGAGAATCAGCCGATCTCTTCTGATGCAAAGCACATAAAACAGGAAACCTCTAATGCACTCTAAAAACAATTAGCTGGAAATAATGGAGATCACCATCATAATCATCATCTATGTCGTGCCTTCAATTAAATGTTAGAGACTCCTTGTATCTTACAATGCAGCAACATTCTGTGCAATATTTGACTGTAAAATTAACTTTTGAGAGCTTTTAGCTACGTTCATTCATAGTTTACTCTAAGTTGTAATTTGATTAATTCATGCATGTGTGAGTTATCTGATAAGATGTTTAGTCATACATTTTCATAGCACTTTTTAAACAATAAAAATACAGTCACTGGCTACAGTGAAATGCCACTATATAGACCGGAGTCCTTGAGTTCTGCAGTTTTAAATAGGGAGGCAATGGACCTGTTTCTATTATTAAGCCCTTTTTTGATCAATAGTGCAGTTTACAATGAACAAAATGTCAAATAATGATCTAGGCTTGTTTATTATAGTTTAATACCTGGAAAAACAAACATATATAATCTTGCCCAATGTCATTCTCTGTTTTTTATCAAGTCAATTGCAATTAATGAAAAACCGTATTGTACTTAGGACCTCAGGCCTCTATATGCTGGTCGTTGTGCATATCATTTCAGTGAGACTGCTTCTGACAGAGAGGTAAGAAACAAATTTTTTATAATACGATTATAAAACTTATAATAACTTAGTTTTAGTATATGCAAGCTATTTATACAGTCTATAAAGTCTAACAAAGGTGTTGATCTCAGGTCTCCTGTCAGACATCATCTCGAACAACCTGTAACCTCAGAGTGAAGAGCAACACTTGCTACTGCTGTGAACTGTACCACTGTGGCAAGTAGGTATACATTTACATAGATGTTTACATATTTGAGACAGTGAGGTGCTGCTTGCTTTGCTGTGATGCTTTGATTAGATTTTTCATATACTATACAGTTTTTGTGGGTACATTTTTTTTTACACTGTTTTGTATTAGAACGATTTTTTCTTTTTACTTTTTCAGAGAACACCCTCTTATGGGACTTCAGAATAAAGATGTTTTGAAAAAATTTAGGAAATCCTCCATGATTTGGAAGTAGGTCTCTTTTTCTAGACCTGTATAAGCAGTCACATTATTAGTCTTTTTTTTTTATTATATGTTTTGTATTTGTTAGATATAACACATCATACTGTTTTATGATTGACATGTGATTATCATGTACCTCAAATCCATGTGCAGATTTTGGTTTTGTTTTACAAAGCATTATTGTGTTTGTTCATGTCTAAGCTTAAGCTATGTACTTTTTACTGTGAAATGGAAATGGAAATGTAGTGTTTAGATCCCATTCATAACAGTTGTGTACAGTCCATTTCCCAATAACAGTGCTTAGAATAATGTGACACAAACCTTTCAGCAGCTTGAGTCTTCACTGTTGTCCTCTGTCCTATCCATTGGTCCAGCCGTGTGGAGGTTCATGGAGGCTACCATGAATACACAGATGTGAAGGGCTGCCAAGACGTGGTCCATCTGTACCACCTGCTTTGGTCGGCCACGATTTTGAACATTGTGGCTCTTTTCCTGGGTATCATAACTGCGGCAGTACTGGGAGGTTTCAAAGACATGGTAGGAGATTTTAGCTTTACATCAAATTCTGCAACTGTATCTGCAAATGTACATAGTATGCTTTGCTTTAGATTAGAGTCCTTTTTTATACAGTTGTACCAAAAGATGACAGCAGAACCGACTGGATGGTCTAATACTAACTGGGTAACTGAATTAAGTATTGGTCTAAATGTCCAAATTTGGACTTATGTTGTCTTAAATAATCCTAAAATCCCAATAAATAGTCCTATTCTGAACTAGTAGACATAGTACTTGAATTTAATCAATTTATATTAACGTTATGAATGTTAATTATATGCCTAAATAACAGTTCTTTCCTAATAGAATTTCATTTCTCTCATAGACACCCTCCACTTCTTCAGAGAGTACTTCTGAACCAGAAGCTATCACAGCGCCAGTCCCAATAGAGCCTCCTGCTCCTTCCAACTCACTAAATTCCTATCGCAACACTGCCCCCTGCCTACCACCATACACGGCTTATGACATGCAGGTAGAGTACATTTCATAATTTTATCTGCTAACTCTCTAAGTCTTATGTCTCAAAATGTTGTCTTTTGCAGGGGACTTATGTCTTCCCTGACTCTTCGGGCTTATCTGATGATTCTCAGTCTGGAGCCAGTCATCTGTGGCCCACTATGATCCCTCCTCGTTACTCACCTCCTCACAATCACCCAGATGAGAAACCCCCACCATACAGCCCCTAAAACATCCAAGACTGTCTGTATACACAGGAAGAAAAGCACCATGCAGTCAGGGCAGTTCCTCAAACCTTTACTGGTCTGATGAGATGTACCATTTGACCAGCTCAAGAGGTCAAGAGTATGAAGACTGGGACACTGGTCATAAGAGCCCAGAACATAAACAGCATAATATTAATGAACAGACTATTGTACTTGTAAGCAAAGACAGTTTACAGACGTCAACTATGCCTTAATGTAAATGTCACAGCACTGTCATTCAAGCCTGATGCCATCACATTCTGTAAATGCTTTCGCACTACCAGGAACTGTAACAATGCAACTTATCACTCACTTAGATCAAAGGGGATTTTACAGTCAACTCGATTGTGTAACTGTCGGCATGTTGGTTAGTTTAATTTTCACTCACAGTCAGCAAAGATTTTAAGACATTTTTATTTTGTACATAAAGTGTCTCAATATTCTCATTTATCTAGGTTAGAAAAATCTAAATATTTTTTGTAGCCACAATGCAGTACATCCATAGAGATGTGCAAAAAGGAAAAAAACAAGTTGCTGGATCACTACAAGTAAAAACATTTCCCACTCTATAGTATCAGAATAGTTTTGAATGAAAGCTAAATTTTATTTAACAGCTTCTTATCACCATTGGCTTAACATTACACCAACTGGAAATTCTGATATAAGACAACACAACTGAACATTCTTCAATACAGAAGTAAATGTATCATGGATGAAAAATGTAACCACTAAATTGTATTCTGGGTGAAACTCAATATACACCATTATATTTAATTATAATATAATCTATTTCTACATTTTTACTTAACTGATAAGCCCAATTATTATAGGACAGTAAAATCAAGTTTTAATACTGTAATGAATAGTTTGAATTTAATTTAAAAAATGCTGACTAGGTTTGAAAAAAAGTATTTAATTAAAATCTTGTTTTCTGTCATGGGAAACATTTTTTCACCTTCACCAACAAACAAACCAGCAAACACGGCTTCCATAAAATAAGCCAGCAAGCCCAAGCAACCAGGTAAACCTCAACACCGTGTAATTTTTTCCAGATAATCTTAGAACAAAAGAGAGAAAATCAAGCCTGTGTGTATTAAAACATTTAATTTCCTACAAATAAAAAAACATTATCAAAGACCGTGGTTTCTCTAAAATGTACAATATAGACAGTCCCATTGTTAATGTGTTTATTTACAATCCATTTAAACCTTGACTGACATACTCTTTCTACAGGCTGGCTATGAAAACTCTGCATAAATAAGTACTAAGTGCTATCTGAATAGTTGTCTGTATCTCTGCATATAGATTGTATAGTTAACGTTAAGTTTGGCAAAATAGATAAAAGCAGTTTATAAAAAATACATGTAAATCAACAAGTTAACCCTTGACTATTAAAATTACATAATCAACACCCCTGCCACAATACCAAAGTAATGTAACCAAAACAGTTTCAATAACAAAAGGAATGAAAATCTCAACAAGGTTTTAGAGTTCAGTTTGAAAATTTCTTTTGGTATATCCGGACGACTGAGGGAATATAGACATTGCTTCAATAGTTTTTTTCTGTTGGTGTTAAACCATCAGTATTTGTACATGTTTTTTTTTCATGTGATAATAAAACAATTACTAGATTTTTTTTTTCTGCAAGCTTCAATATAAAAACAGATGCAAAATATTATGTTTTCTTTGCAGATTTATTCTTGTAATCAATAGTGCCAATTTTATAATTACTTCACCTTTTTAAACAAGATTAACAAGAAATATCTGCTGTACAGGAGCAGGGGCATGTGAAAAGGCAATGATATTCAGAGGCACAAAGTGTATGTTAGTTGTTTAGTAAGTCTGTGGTGGAATGAAGTCAAATTCAGACTCTTGCTTATGATTCACTAAACCCCCAGGTTGTGGATTTGCATCTGGCTCTAAAAATATGTCATCCCAATTTAACATCCTCTTCTGGGTTGAGTCCTGTTGATGTGTAGTTGTGATATGCACACTGCCATCCTCAGTCATCACGGTTTTTATGTCAGAAGGTTTGTCTTCTGAGACCCAAGAGTATGCTTTCATTTTCACTGTTTTGCATGGAAGCAGCTGATAAAGATTATTGTCTGCTAAATCCTTTCCCTTTCTCCCACTAGGATCCTGGTTGTGAACTGACTTGCAATGGCTTGCAAGAAACTGGTAGTTTAAAAATGTTTGTTTGCACAACAAGCATTGGTATCGCCTTTCTCCTGTATGACTAATTTCATGTTTAGTTCTGTATTCGGCCAAAGCGAATACCTTGTTACAGTGTCGGCACGGATACTGCTTTTCCCATGAATGCGTATTGTAGTGACGACGAAGACTTGTCATACACACATAGGGGCGTTTACAGACCACGCAAACATAGAAGGTCTTTCCATCCATGACCAGCTCATAATATTGACTATCATCCACTTTGCTTTTCTTTATGGGTCCCATTGTCTGTGAAACTGGTTCTTCTTCACAAGGTCTGTTGAGGGTGGCCATATATGCTCTTTTCCCATTATAAGCCTTAGATCCTCCCTCTTCTGGGTCATCTTTTACTGCGACTATGTCGTATGTATTTTCTCCAATATTGGCATATACTCGACAATCTGGAGATATTGAACCAATGGAACCAATGTCTGCAGCTGTTTTTAGAGTTACAGTCTGTTTTGCTCCAAACTTACACATAGACAAGTTACTGTCACACACCTTAGAGGCATCAGGCACATCGACGAGTCTTATTTTGAGATCCCCCTGCTGAGCGGCGGGAGTTGCTACTTGCTTTCTGTGAACTCCCAAAAGATCTTTGGTTTTGGAAGATACTGAAAGACTTTGAGTGTCATGGCTGAAGGCTGTGGATGTGGTTGGTGCTGTGGTTGGTGCTGCGGTTGGTGCTGCGGCTGGTGCTGCGGCTGGTGCTGCGGCTGGTGCTGCGGCTGGTGCTGCGGCTGGTGCTGCGGCTGGTGCTGCGGCTGGTGCTGCGGCTGGTGCTGCGGTTGTAGTCACAGGAGAAGACACATCTTTGGAGTTGCCTTTAGGACTGCTGCAGTTTTTAGAATTAGGAGGTTTTACAGAATATGTTTTTTGTGGTCCACAATCTTCCTGTTGCACAGGTACAATATTTATGCCTTCTGAAGACTCTAAATCAATAACCTCAGTGTTAATTTTCTGATTTGCTGTTGTTGTTTGTGAGACAAACATCACATCACTGTCTGAGTCCTCATCGTCCCCTTCTGGTTTTGAGGTTTGATTGAATTCCTCAGAAGATATTGAAAATGATTCTGTGATTATTGGCATCACCTCTGAAGATGTATCATTTATGTTTTCTGGTTCTTTGGATAAGCCTGGGAGCCCTTTCACTTGAGATAAAGGTGAAGCCAAGTTAGCAATGAACTTCACTCCTAGTAGTTTTCCTGCTTGTATCAGCTCCTCAAGCATGTCAGATCTAACTCGAACAATCTTAGATGTGTAAATGTAATTAAGAATTTCTTCAAAGATTTCTGCTCTGATGAAGTTTAGTTCAATTACTTGTCCAGCCACAGTAAAGAGCTGATGAAAGTACGTACTAGAAGCAGATAAGATGGTTTTGTGGGCTCTGAACTTTTTGTCCCGGATAATAATTGTAATGTCACAAAATAGTCCATTATTTCGCTGCTCATTCAGTGACTTCAGCACAGCAGTGGAGTACTCTGTGTCCGTAGCAGATATCAATTTAAGGCTTGGCATATCTATTATATAAACAAAAAATACATAAATTAGGATTATTTACAAATATCCATAAATTCAAAAACAAAAGTATACATTTGACAGTACTGGTTGATAATTTGGTTGATTGATAATTTTCGCATCTCTGTTTAGCTTTATCATAATCAGCTCTAACCCAAACACTATAGAATGTGTCTAAAAATTGTAATTACGACTATAAAAATTTCTTCCAAGAACTCCAAACAAATCCTAAATTATCATTATTTCAGAACAGAGGGTATATGAACTTGAGCTAACATGAACCTAGCTTGCTACCCTTTCTTTATTTTTATTTCACGTTTGTAAAGACTGCGCTCAACATATGCTTGTAGTCAACACAGAAACATAGAAATGTGTTTTATATGGTGGCCACACTTGAATTAATTCAGTGTTAGGGAGGGTTGGTGATAGCAAACATAGGCGATGCTACCAGTTAGCCCCATCGCTTCCTCATTCTCCTAATCACAAAGCGGCCTTCTTTACGTAAGTATAAAGACAACATGCACGTAACATAATCCACATATATACAACAGTCATAAAGGGTTATTTTGAATGTTACCTGCAAATTGTTGTGTCCCAACACAATATAAAGCAAGATCTTTAAGGAATCGTAACTTAGCAGACTCCAGACAAAAGCCTCTGCGCAGTGGTTCAAGCAAAGGAAGCGCAGTGGCTAACATGCACACAACTCAACACAACATGACCGCCACAAGAAGGCGCGCTTCATCAAATACTACTTTCTTTTTATATAGCGTTCCGTTTTAATTTTTGCACATCTTGTGTACAACTTGTTGGTTTTGTGAAAACTGCAAAAATGAGCATTATGTACTATGTATTCAAATAAAATACGTTTCAAACCAGTTATGCGTGTTTTTATTTACCCAAAAGAGGAACTATTGTTGCCTACTGTTTTTCTTCGGGCATTTTTAAACGGGGGACCAAAATGCATCACATCCTTCTTGTCGTTTCTGTTGTAAACAGGCCGTAAACACCAAACGTAAGACAGTTTTTCAGCTTTTATGTTGAATTGAACTCAATTACAAAACTCTTAACAGCATGCCGTCCTCGGAGCGGTCCAGCCCCGACAGCACACGGAGTCCTCGGACACGGAGGCCACGCACTCGCTCCCGCAGTCGAAGTCGTGGCCGATCACACAGTTTGTCACCGGATAGTTTTGGCCCTAAACTCCCAAAACCACGGAACAGAGAACGGGAGCGAGAGGACCGTGAACGACGGTTTCGAGAGGCAAGAAACATCAAACGAATCCGAATCGGAAGCCCACATAGAAGTCGGTCCAGATCTAGGTCGAGGGAGAGACACACGAGCTCCAATAACCACCACTGGTCCGAGCAGCGTGATGGTTTCGGGAACCACGGTGGGCTCAGGGATGAATATTATTACGAAGAGCAAAGGGACGATGCGCAAAGGCAGAGACAAGAGGCTTTCATTGCCAGGTAAAGTTTAGTTATAGTCTATAATATATGTTTTTGTTAAATGTAAGCTTGATTTTTGTTTTGTTTTGGTTTCCATAGGCGTCTACAAGAGAGAGAAAGAATTGGCGAATTGGGTTGTCCTGAAGTTTGGGGATATTCGCCTAGAGTGAAAGAACCAGAGTAAGTATTGTATCTAGTCTTCTCTTGACTTGCTTTTGTTTTATCACTATAATAGTTTTGGCATTGTCAAGGGGCTTATCTTTTTCTGATTATTAGTTCTGATGAGTTTACCCCTGTTGAAGATGATGAAAAAAACAGCAGCTCTGAATCAAGTTCTGAAGGTACTTGGAAATTTGCATAGCCACAGGAGTCCAATAATTAATGAATGATAATAATCAGATTCTTGATTATTATTTATAGAGGAAAAGAAGAAGAAAAAGAAGAAGAAAAAGAAATCAAAAAAGAAAAAGAACAAAAAGCACTCTGAGGACAGTGACCTGGAATCTGATTCTGATGGTACAAAATGATTTCTATTTGATGTGATATTCTATTCTGTGTGATATTTATTTGCATTATTGGTACTGGATTTTAATATTCAGCTTTTTTTGTACAGAAGAAGCTCTGAAGAAAAAAAAGAAGAAAAAGAAAAGCAAAAAGTTTGTTCAAAGCAGATTTATGCTTTAGATTCTGTCATGATGCCTAAAACTCAAATGCTGCTCTTCTCCTAAGGTCCAAGAAGTCCAAGAAAAAGAAGATGAAAAAGAACCGCAAGGAGTCCAGCGAGTCTAGCAGCGAAGAGTCTGGAGACGAAGAGGAGGATGATGATGCTGGTGCTGTGATGTGGGTGGAGAAAACCTGTATAGATGAGCATGTGGTTGGCCCCGAAGCTCCCCTCACACATTTGTCCCAGGATGACAAACCACTAGAGTGAGTCCATTTATCCATGTGTCCCTTGTTTTGTGTTATTTGTTTTAATAATGCGTGAAATGTGTTCTTCAGTTTTGGACATGCGCTGCTGCCAGGTGAAGGTGCTGCTATGGCAGAGTATGTAAAAGCTGGTAAACGTATTCCAAGAAGAGGAGAAATCGGACTCACTAGTGATGAGATTGCAAACTTTGAAAAATCTGGCTATGTGATGAGTGGCAGCAGGTTTGTGAAGGATACCTTAATATATTTGTCACTTGCAATTTATAAAGAATTTAAAGTACAAGGTGAAACTATGGAAATTAATGAACTGTTTTCAGCTAGAAATATGTTTACTATTATTTTTTCAACATTTTACACTTTATGCAATAAAGTTTCTTGTGTTGTGATGTGTAATCACCTCTCTACAGACATCGTCGTATGGAAGCTGTGCGTCTGAGAAAGGAAAACCAGATTTACAGCGCTGATGAAAAGCGAGCTCTGGCTTCATTTAACCAGGAAGAAAGGAGGAAGAGGGAGAGCAAGATCCTGTCAAGCTTCAGGGAAATGGTGTATAGAAAAACTAAAGGCAAAGATGAAAAGTAACTCATGTTTCATTTTGTTTTCCCATTTTAAGCCAATTTCACTTTTTGGAAAGTTTCACATTACAAAAATACTTCCTCTTACTCAATGCAAAGTTGTTGTATATATGAATGAGTTAGTGTATTGATGAAAGATATAACATTCTGTAAATATATACCCAGTAATGATTCCCATTAATATGGAGTGTCTATTACATGTTTTAAAAGGTAAAATAAAAAGGATCTGATTTTTACTTTTGTCTCATGTTATGTTTTAAGAAAAACAGAAAAATGCATAATTTTATACATACATTCTCACACATTTATGTCATTTACTTAAACTTTTGTTTCATACAGTTTATTCAACAGAAATTTATAGGGGAATATAGGAAACTTTACAACATTTTTACAACATTCCTCACTTGAAGGTCTGGAAGTCAATGGATGTTTTCAAGCCCCTGTATGGTAGAAAAAAGGAAATGGTGAACTTCTCGCATATTCAAACTTTTTTTTTTAAGTTGACCACTTAGTATATTGGAGTATACCTTTATTTAACACACCAGTATATAAACATGCATATTAAAGTTATTTTTGATCACTTTAAGACAACATATGGATCAGTAAATCTCTACCTTGGAATCGTAATAACGTCCAGTTCCAGACACACGTCTGTCTCTCTCCATGAGGTACCAGTGCCAGGGAATCCGAACAATTCTCTTTTCCTGAGAAATAAATTGTGCACTTAATATTTGACACATTTTGAAGAACAAAATGAGATAGTCGGCGCAGTACGTCTCAGTAAGCAGGAAATGGACCTTCTTACCTTTCCTCCATTGGTGAACTTGTGGATGTATGCTGTAGCGACGCCGGGAACCATTAGACACACTGTCATGATGGCAAAGCCGGGCAATATTTCATACCACATGATGAATTTTAGGATAGAAATGTACTCCTTTACTTTCAAGTTTTCTCAGAACAAGCCGACAACCCTTCTGTTTTGCTAAAAGGCTAACAAAATGTCGAACGTCCTCACGACCTCCATCACAGGAAACGTGATACTTGCGGCTTTCAAATTAAAAGGGCTCAATGTTTTAGAGTTAAAATTTCTAAATAAATACTTACATAAAATTGCTAAATACACTCGATTAAATTTTTTTTTTCAAATACAATGATAAATATGATGAACATAGCAAATCAAAGCATCTATGACATTTTCCAAATTTACAATTTCGCCTTATTTAGAAAGTAACTGGAAAATTAGAATCAGTCATTTACAATTATTATTATTATTATTATTATTATTATTATTATTATTATTATTATTATTATTGTTGTTGTTGTTGTTGTTGTTGTTGTTGTTTTTATTATTATTATTATTATTATTATTATTTATTTTAATTTAATTTTTTTTGTTATAACACTTGATGAATCTGAAAATCAGCGATACTATTTTACGTTTGTATGACGCCCCCTTTAGGCAGGGGTACATTACTACAGGCATCGTCACTGAGGAAGTTTGTTATCGCAACTGCTGCTAACGGCTAACGAGCTAGAAAGTAAACAAGAGTGAGGCGTGAGATGATTTAACTAACGCTAAGGTGTAAAGTACTTCACTGTTGCAACTATGAAGGAAGATAAAGAAAATGCTCGCCCTAAGGACATAAGGGCTGAAGATGGCGAAAAGTCTGAGAGGTCAAAGGAAAAGAAAGAGACCATGACAAAGGTAAAAGTTGTTAGCAGTTTACTTAGCTACGTGTTAATCTAATCCAATAATTCTGCAAACTTGTTATTCAGTGGATTAATATTTTATATTTGTAAAATAATCCAAAATAACTTCTGTTAGATCATCATCAGACGATTACCACCAACTATCACCAAGGAGGAGCTAGAGGAACAGTTGCAACCACTTCCTGAGGTGGACTATATGGAGTTTTTCTCAAATGACACCAGGTATAATACTTGCAATGCATTGTATACTTGTTTATTATATAAATATTCATTACAAATATGTATTACTATTTATTAATTTTATATTTGTAAAACTGTTGATTTGTTTCAGCCTGTACCCTCATCTCTTTGCAAGAGCTTACATTAACTTTAAAAATCAGGAAGACATTGTGTTGTTCAGAGATCGGTTTGATGGATATGTATTTATTGATAGCAAAGGTATATTAAACATTCTTAATATTTCATTTCATTTTACTTGAACATGTGCTGTATTCATCAAGTGTTAATACGCTATTTCTCCTACATAGGGCAGGAGTATCCTGCTATTGTGGAGTTTGCTCCTTTTCAAAAAACAGCCAAAAAAAGAACTAAGAAAAAGGATGCCAAATGTGGAACAATAATAGAAGGTAAGCAGATAAACCAGCATTTATAGCAGTTTAATGTTAATGTTGTTACAATAGCTGTTCATATTCATATTTTAAGATCCTGATTACAAAAAGTTTCTTGATTATTACAATGGAAATGATGAGAAACTGATATCCACACCTGAAACATTGCTGGAGGAGATTGAAGCAAAATCCAAAGAACTTGGTGAGTTCAATGTGTTTCTGTGTTACGGCTTTTGAACTATATAATGCAAGTTATTATGTTCTCTAGGAAAAAAATCAACTCCTCTGCTTGACTTCTTAAAGAACAAACAGGTAAAGTAAAGATTTTAGTCATATAAAGATTTGATCAATCATAATAATTAAATAAATTAAACAGAGACTGCGGGAGGAAAAGAAAGAGGAAAGAAGAAGAAGAGAACTGGAGCGCAAGCGTCTTCGCGATGAAGAGCGGCGAAAGTGGAGGGAGGAGGAAAGGAAAAAGCGCAAAGAAACAGAGAAATTGAAACGGCTTGAAAAGACTCCAGAGAAAGACAAGGACCAAGTCAAAGATGAACCTAAAATCAAGGCATGTACTACTTTTTTTTTAAAAGCCTGCCACAAAACAGGCCAAAAAGTACTCTAAAATTAAAGCATGTTTCTTTGATGTTTTTATTGCTCTGAAATACGTAGAAAAACATGCGTTCTTACTGTTAGCGGACTTGTTGCATCTGCATAAATTAGATTGTTAAGTCCCATTCACACATGCAACCTGATTCAGCAATGTACCTAGTATTTTGCTAGCACAGCATACAGAGCTGACCAGATTACCAGATTTGGGGATTTTCAAACCTGTCAAACATATTTTTATTCAAAGATCAAGTCTTCAATTAATATTTCTGGCACAAGAAAACAGCATAAAAATCATTAACTCTATGGGCCGTATCTTGCCTCCAAACTTGGCGCAAAGCGCAAGTGGGCGTGTCCAGGTAGGGCTGTACTTCGCTACTGGAGGCTGGAGAGGGATGTACAAGTACATATATGGTGACAGCATCTGAACCAATATGTGACCGCTGTGGCATTTAAAAGCACTGCCCGTGCTTTATCAGGCGGCAAAGCGGAGTGTTGGCAAAAGTTACATATGTGAAAATAAAACAGTTCTGGAGCCCCGCGATGCAAGTACACACCAGCAGAGGCACCAGGACTATAGAATTTTGTATGGGCCATGAAAGAACTGACCGGGTTTGTGTTCCGAACGCTCTGCTGTGTTCATTTAAGACCAGTGCCTGTCTCATGTACTCCCATCCCACAGCAGACCCACAGATTTCTCGCTCCCGGTCCAATCTGTCCCGCAGTCCGCTCCCACAGACTCACCTGAGGTACGAGTGTCCACCTCTGCTGCTACTGACCTCTCACATTCTCGTTTCTCGGGTCCACTGCATTTGGTCCCACACAGGTGGACGTGCCACCGCCAGACAGTTTCGGGTGCTTCTTAAATGACAGAAAAGCTAATTTGCCATCTGATGTCTTTTCACATTGCAGTTACTCAAAAAGCCAGAGCGTTCTGATGATGGAGAGTCTGAAAAATCTAGAGAAAAGCTCAAGAAACCAGAGAGGCCAAATAAAGAAGACCGACCAGTTGTAATTGCTGACCAGAAGAGACGTCAGACCCATGACCATAAAGAGGATCGAGGCAGAAAGTAAAATTTACTTTCCATTTTTAATATTTTAAAGTTTAATTTAAATGATTAATAATGGTTGTTTGTTTTACACACAGAGATGAAGAAGGGAGAAAAGAATACAAAGAACATGTGGATCGTGACAGAGACAGAGATAGGGATCGAGAAAGAGAGATGCGAGACAGAGAGAAAGAACGGAGACTAAAAGAAAAGGAGCGCCTCAGGCGTCAGGATGATGAGCGCAGAAGGCGGAGAGAGCGCCAAGATGGAGAAAATGCTTACAAAAAGAGAGAAGATGAGTTTAAAAGGGAAAAAGAGCATGGCGCAGAAAAGAAAAAGTTAGTAAACACGACAGACTGTCCTCACAATGAAAAATCCACCAAAGAAAACAAGAAGGAGGATGGTGTTAAAAGAGAACGGCTACGGAACAAGGTCATAAGACTTCATTATTCATATATTGATTTAGTAGCAACCTATTGTTTTCTCATACATCTCTTGTTGTACTTTAGGACCGTCCAGCTATTCAGTTGTACCAGCCTGGCGCTCGAAGCCGCAATCGTTCCGCTGTGACTGGAGCTGCTGACCCTACAGACAAGAAGGCCGATTCTGAAACCACAAGGGTCCAGGAGAAAGGAAATGACTGAGGGCCATAGCATCCAGCATCTGTGTAGAAATATGTCAGCACTATTAGTGGCTGAGCATCATTTCAATCTCGCCTAATTAGTCTTGTTATGTTCAGATTTAATTCCAAGACTTTGCATCTGAGCACTTGTTGCTGCTTGATGGAAAACTATATGAAAGTGTGTTCAGGAGATAATTTTAGACTAATCCAGCAATGGCCTTTTCTATTGTAATCCCCAAATGCTGCTCCTTTTTCAAGTCTGTAACCAACTGTACAGAACATATACTGACAACATTTGTAGAAGTTGACTTGTCTTATTATTACAATAAAAGTAAATCTTGATTAGAACACACAATCTAATATCATGTTCTTGGGACCGACCAGCTTTAGCAATGACACCTTATGCTGTACCACAGATGCAGTACAGCTTTATTTTTATATTACATTGTTCAAGAAGAGGATTTTAGGTGAAATTTGTAGAATGATACTATATTATATATAGTCCCATCAGATTTATTCAAACCAGTGATTTGTCCCAGTTTTATACAAAAAAATGTCCCAGGTGTCCCTATTTTTGACCAATTTGATCTAAACCAGGACTATATCAACTCTCAACCAGAACTAAAACCGGACTATCACAATTTTTGACCAATCTGATCACCACCAACACTAAAGAGAAGCATAAATTATTTTGCATTTGTTTCACCAAAATACAGAAATACGTGTTTGCGAATGACCATATAGCAAAAATAAATAAATAAATTTTAAAAATTGCAACGAGAGAAGTCCCTCAGATTTTGACACAAGAACAGGGTGACCCTATTTACCCAGGACAGTCCCAGTTTTGAGCCCTCTGTCCTGTGTCTCAGCAGATTTATCCAAAACCATTGATTTGTCCTAGTTTTTTACAAGAAATGCACAAGGTGTCCCTATTTTTGATCAATGTCATGCCTGCCAACAGGAAAGAGAGGCATACATCTGGTTAGGTAAAATACAGAAAATTGGAGTAAAAACAACCAAAATACAAAGAAAATTGCTATACTGGCTCACATGTTAGTCATGAATGGTCTCTGCATAACAATTTTCCTTAATTACACATTTCTTTAACAATTTCAGTATTACAAACCACCAAAACCAAAAAAACAGAGATGCCCAGTTTTTATTTTGAAATTCTGGTCACCCTACACAAGACTGCACAATCTTACATGCTCTTTTCACAATTTATTTGCACAATTTTGTGTGTGTGTGTACGTGTGTGTGTGTGTGTGTCATCAGCAGTTATGTGTTGGGATGAGGGAACATAAACACAACATATTATACAGTAACAATACAATACAATAGTAATAAAACATTTCTCAAAAAAAAAAAAAAATGCATTTAGGAAGACAAAAGGATAATATCAAGGGGAATAGAGATCATTCAGCCTAAGTTCATAAAGTCCAGGGAAATTTCATAGATGTAGGAGAACACTTTTTGAGCTTTACGTCCATTCGTATATTTCAGAACTTTTACATATAATTTGAGTTCATTTTTAAAACAAGCAAAGTTAGGGGGACACTTCTGAATTTTACATTTTGTGTATGTAAAATTTGGCAAGACATAATATTAAGTTTACACAGAGTTCTTTTTTTATTTTGCAGTAGTACACCAAAACTTATAACATCTCTATTTAATTTATTTGGACGTCATGTGTACATGCAGTTACAATTTAAGTACCACCAGAGGGCGCTACCGGAAGACAACGCATTACAACCGTGGCCGCTCATTGGTTAAAGCCGAAAACGTCACTTCCTTCTTTCTCTTTGACTGTCGCCATAGTGGGAAAGAGGCTGTGGGCAAAATGGTAAATACGAAATCTTTAAACATCTTAATGATATGAGCAGTTTAACCTGTCCACATATGATAAGAACTAAATACCAATCTTGCGGAACACCCAAACCTCTATATGCGCTTCACACTGACGATTAATAAACTGATAACATGTGAAATTTCTGTCGTCGCTGTTTAGCATCCTCCGCTGTATTAACCAACGGAGGTCTTATTTAATTTGTACTGTCTAAGATTTGCCTGTGTAGTTAGTCTGAACACTTTGATTTTGTTTTGTTTTTTTACAGTCGTCTCACAAGACATTCAGGATCAAACGCTTCCTCGCCAAAAAGCAGAAACAGAACAGACCCATTCCCCAGTGGATCAGAATGAAAACCGGCAACAAAATCAGGTGAGCATCAGTAATGGTGAAGGGTCATATTCACTTAAACTTTTTTTGTTTTGTTTTTTGGATTATTATTATGCATAGTTTTGTTGAAATTAAACTCTTTAAACGTTTTATACATCAGCTCATCCTTGAATACCTTGAATACCCCTTTCAGAACATGAGGGCAATGTTTGTCTTGGTATCAAGCTGGAGAATTTGTATATACTGTAATTTTTTTTTTTAAAATGTATTTTAGTTCTTATTTTAAAAAAAGAACAACCTCACATTAGGTTTATTGTGTTGAACTTATTGCTCAATACTGTAATGGAGTTGTTCTCAAATTGTGGTGAATTCTTTCAAGAGATGCTCGTGTTTGTCTACAGTTCAAATACTTGCATAATTAATTTCTAGTATATTCTCCTTTGGGAGAATCAGTACAGGAAGTCTGTAGTGTAGTGCCATTTAATGCCTGGTTTAGCATTAGAATAGTCCTGAACTAGACCTGTTTTTAAGACAAGTACCATCTAAATAAATATTTGGCCTAAAAAGTTAAACCACTGCTGTAAGTCCATAATTTCATAATGCACTCCTGTAAGATCACTAGCGTGTTTTTGTCATGTTAGCTGTCTTGCCTAATGTTTATGACAAGTGAAGATGACAATGTTGTTATTTTGGGATTACTTGACTATGATCTAATGCAGGTCTGCAATTGCAGCACTTCAACTGTGGAGTGCTGTCATTAACCCTGCAGAGAGCATTTTTCTCCATTGGAGTATTTCTCCAGTTCACCATCAGTGATGTGGACACTCCATGGCTGATATAAAAAAGGACATATTATGATCATCTTGACTAAGACCAAAACATTGTCAGCAACTCATTTATTATTTATTCCAGGTACAACTCCAAGAGGAGACACTGGAGAAGGACCAAGCTCGGCCTGTAAACATGAGGGTTCCTTGATCCCAGCATTCTCTGAACAGCTGCCAGAACCTCCATATGCTGGGAGTGACCATATTACCTGGAGCAGCAATGTTTTTGTACAGATACTCCGGTTATGCTCATGTTTAATAAAAGAACCATGAAAATACACACACCTTGTTGTCAACTGTTTATTTTAAGTTTTCAATGGAGAATGTACCTTGCTTGTTTATAGACATAGAATTAATGAATGTATGTGCTTGATAACTTAAGAGTACCTTGTTTTATAACATTGTTTTACTCATTTGAATTTCTTACAATTAATGTGAATGACTGAAGCAGTTTCCTGAATGAACCCAATCTTAAACTCTTTCTAGTCTGTGTTGTTTCAAAGTGGCTGACTTGCTGTGCCTCACAATTGTCGAAGTCCAAAATACTTTGATCAAGTATATCTACACAGTTATTGTTTCTGTTCATATTATTGGTATAATTGCAACTGTGGTCTTCATCCCATGTCCCGAGGAGCTCCTTCATCTCAAGTGGCGCGTCTTCCTTCAGATATTGCCAGGCTCTTTTCCCGTTGTAATCCATAGCATCTACATTGGCGCTAAATGCCCCAACCAAGAGTTTGATGACCATATATCGCCCATGCATGCTGGCAAGATGCAGAGGCGTGAGGCCCCCGCTACCCCGAACGTTCACATTGACATTCAACCCCAAATTCTGAGTATAACTTAACAGTTGAAGCAGGGTCTCGTCCTGTCCATTTTTGGCTAGCCAATGCAGTACAGTGTAACCACTGATGAAGTCTTTTCTGGTCAGCAGATAGGGGTCTTCTGATACAAATTCTATAAGTGTGCCATAGTTTCCTTCCACGGCAGAAAGCATCCAGGCGTGCTCCATTGGATACAAAGCCCAGTCTGCGTCCTGTGGGTCTTCCTGTAAAGACCCTCTATCCGTTTGAGGAAACAAAACACTGCTAAATCCACCGTGTGATTTATTGATCAATTCTTTCAAGTACTTTCTACGCACTGTCGCTGAAATCGACGTCCTTTCTGGGACATTCTGCACAGTCTCACAGCTGTCGACCTCCTGCTGCCTCTGTAGCCTCGTCCTACGCTGGAAAGCACTGGGCATGGGCATGGGCATGACCTGCATCCCATATTTCGACAGTCGCTCCACAACGTTGCTTTGTCTTGGAGTCTCAGAGCCGTGGGCGTTTATAAGGCCGGCAGTTTTTTGGTCAGTACAATCTCCCGTGCCCTCATACATATTTGCGGTCAAAAACTTTGAGACTCAAAAATTTTGTCCAATATCCAGTTCAAAGTCTTTGCACAATAATGGCATCTTACATATTGTAAGGCTATACTCACGTCATGAAGCTCAACTTATCCCGAGTACTATTAAACTCCAATGGTAGACAATTAATTGCACTTCAAAGTCGTCGACAGAGCAAAGAATATAACTTTAATGACAGCTTCCCTTCTCAAGAGGAACTGAGACAAAGTTCAGTGTAATCAGCAAAACCAGTGCAAAGATTGAGTCACGTGACCACTGTATGGGCTTTGAACCAGGAAGTTACATTTAAAAAACAAAAAACAGTAAAGTAAAATTTATTCAACAAAAACAAGTAAAAGCACACATCAATTCATTCTTAGTAGAGATCAGATTCTGGAGGAAAGTCTACAATCAGTTCATCCAGTGTGTGAAGAAAGTCAAACTCTGAGCAGAAATCTGATAAGTGCAAGAGTGCAGTTTAGTGTCCAGTTTAGCAGACAACTTCTAGACTTCATGTGTTCATTTACTTCATCCTTACCCAATTGTCTTGGCATTTTAACTGGAGACATGTCAGCAAGAGGAATTAACATGAGCGATTCATCAGGAAGACTTGGTTGTGGCAACTCAGCCAGTCCAGGAAGAGCAAGCTTACTCAGAGGGAGCAAATCCTCAGGAAGAGAGTACTTCTCAAATTCTGTAATAAAACAAAAAAACAAACACTTTGGCCTTTTGAACACACTGACAGATGCGATCACTTAATGAAAAGGTCTAGTACCCAAGCAGTCATACGGGATGAATTTCTCAATATCTGGATACTTGTCTGATTTGTTTAGAATAACCTTCACCGGTGTTTCCTGGGGGAAAAAAAATGGGTTTAGATTTTTTTTTAAAAAGATCAGCTGGTATTATGGACATTATGCAACCTACCTGAGGCTTCAGCTGTTTATGTACATTATGTATAGATTGGGTACTATTGGGTACTTTGTTGACTGTCCCCAAAGCTTTTCGTCCAGGCTGAGGAGCATGGACATTTTTGGCACCAGCAGATGTTCTCAGTTTACCTGAAATGACACAAAATTTAAAACAATTTCTTTATATTCGTTCGTATACCTCAGCACACTAAAAGGTGGTCTCATCACCTGGAGCTGACTGCAGCCGCTGTCTCAAGCCCGTTGGCTGAGGGCGAGCATTTTCTTGTTCAAAAAGGATGCTCGACATATTATCTGAAAAATAGTTGCTTTACAGCTGTAAAGTACAGTCAACGTAAGTAAATGTTACTTATCATAACATTATAAAATTTTAGTGTAGACTTGTGCTTAACAGAAATGGCATGGATTCAGGTACACAGGTAAGGTTAAGCAGTTATGTTCTTCAGGGGGTAAGTTTTGGGCATAAATTCACACAACAATCTAACAAAATGCGTTTAACCGTTTACCGCATGTTACCGGACTGTTGGACTGACTATTATGCTTAAAATATAAACAAACAAGGACAGATAACAGTACCGTACCTGAGTTTTCATCGACAAAGTATTGATGATGTTTTGATACGAAACTTGCACTAAACAATCAAGAGACCGCGCAGGCGCGTTTTTAAACTAGCCACGCTTTTCCCATTGGTCGCTTTAACGGAAGTGAGCTTTCAATGGGCGGGGACAAAAATAAGGATATGAATTTATTTATTTTTTTTGTGTTATTATGTTTTAATAAGTAAAAGTTTTATATTGATTGTATTGTGATAAATAGATAAAATCAATGTGAAATAAATATATATAAGCTATATATGCTTAAATGGATGGCTCCAATATCACAAGAAATGAATTATTATGATGGAAGTAGAATTGTTGTAGGATTTCCAATTCTTAGTCATCTAAACTATTCATCTTCAACAGCCAGGAACTACAGTAAAATTAAACTTTCCTACAATTATGATTTAGCCTGAAGTTATGTTGGCAGTGGTACCTTCCTTCCGAAAGAGCCATCTTTGAGCGTAACCTCTGAGCGGTGCAGCGTCTCTGGTTGAGGCAGCGGCCGAGATCTGAACCTTCTGCGACAACCATGGCGTCTACTGAGATAGCAAGGCAAGCGGTGAGTAGATGATTGTACTGTGCAGTTTTCCCGTGAAATATGAGTACTCTTTAAATGACAATGGAGCTAAAATACACTGCTTTAACAGCCCCCGTAATGCGCGTTACTGAGTAATTTTGCGGAGGCTAGCATCGGTGTGTTACCTGAGATGTAAGCTAATGAATAAAAATAACGCGACATTAATCAGCATTTATTTTATGATAAAACTATACATGATATGCGGGTGTTCAGTTTATTTCAGGAACGGGCTGCATATGTCACAATATGTGTGAATTTCATCGTTTAAAAGAAAATGATGTGGTGTGATTCTAGGAAGGCTGATTTCTGGGCCGTGCAATGCCTAAAATGAACCTTGTGTGTGCATTATGACTTTTTCAATGACCATGTCATACTTACCAGTCTAATCATATTATTACACAACCGCGTGAGCGCTGTGCATTCATATTTTCTGTGAACACCTCAAATTCAATGGAGATCCTCATTTCCGCTATGTCTCCTGTCCCGTTAGTTGCATTTCGGGCGTTGTCTGACGTTTTGTTGGAAAATCTATTGTCTAGTTCTTATGTATGTATTTACGAACGCATTGCTATGTTACACTCCACATATTTGTAATATTTTCATTAACAAACCCTCTGGGCTTGCAATTTTAGTTTGATAAATGAATAACGCAAATTGCAAGCCCACGCATGCAGTCCTTCCTGGGTGTTTGTGTTTGTTACTCTACTACTCTAAAGTTGTCAGTTGTCAAGGCTCAGTTCTCACTTAATTAGAATTTTGACAACCTTATATGGATTGCTATTTCAAACTTATTTTTTAGAGGGAGTGCAACAGTTATGTAGCCTAAACCACATAATGGCGGTGTGGCTGAGATCTAGCTGTTTTTGTTGAATGCAGTCTACTTTAAATACACCCCTACATCACATAGTGCCACACACTTAGGTAGTCTGTACAGAGTGGATTCAAAAAGATGAAGATGCTCACAGCCAACCAAACGCCCACTCACACATAAAGCACTCAACAGTAAGGACCTCTCTACACACACAGAGAATGCTTTATTACAACTTAAAAAAGAAAAAGAAAGAAATCTAAGTGATAAGTAAAATATTTGTAACCATAATTTATTTCCTTATGTAAACATGTGGTGTGTGAACAGCATTTCATGAAACAGGAAGTTAGCTACTTCAGCTGGAAGTGATCTCAACTGAAGTGAATGATTTAGAAAATCTTTGATGTGGTTCATGCTATCTGAAAGGCACAAAATAAATCATAACGTGTTGATATTCACATCCACAGGGTGAAGGTGCTCGTGCAGTTCCCCTGTCAGGCCATGTTGGCTTTGACAGCATGCCCGACCAGCTGGTCAACAAGTCTGTAAACCATGGGTTCTGCTTCAACATCCTCTGCGTTGGTGAGTACATCATGCATGAAATGTGCCTTGTTCCTCAGGTCATAAGATAACTCTGGTTCAGTGAAAGTCATAAGATGCAGTCAGTGTTTGGGCTGAGGAAGCATGACTTTTATTTTAGCTCAGCTTATGTCCTCTTTTGTGTTTCACTGTGCTGCACTAACAGGCATGTGGAATTTATCAGTCAGTAATCTTTCTAGCTATGAAGTAAATTTCAGTGATCAACATTTTTTGTGATATGAGTATTCAGAATTGGAACTATACAATGCACCAATGAGACAGGACCATTTACTTTTTACTTTTTATTTTTAAAATAACATCACTTGGTTTATGAGCTACAGAGGAAAGATCTCTTTGACTGTGTAACATCCAAAAGGGAAGCATGAGCATTTAGAAAGATTCAGATTAGTCAGAAATGGGCCAACAGGCCTGGCCTGCAGTACAGGCCATAAGGATTAAAAATAGAAAAAAAAGAGAGCAACCTTTATAATTGAGTTATCTGATTGATGTTAGTATGACAGATTTAGCTCATTTTTTATAATTGAAACTTCTCATTTCTGCTGAGGCATCCTGTCTGAAGCAGTAGACTCTTCTCCTTATCTGAGCAAGAAATGCTCAGAAAAGCAGAAAAGTCCACGTGGTATTGGGTTCAAACCATTTTATTATGTTCAAACAATTAAATACATTTTTAGTTTACTATACGGATTTCTGCTATGTAAATGAAAATATTAATTTTTTTCCAGGTGAGACTGGTCTGGGAAAATCTACATTAATGGACACTTTATTCAACACAAAGTTTGAAGGTGACCCAACGCAGCACAACCAACCAGGAGTCACACTCAAGTCAAACACCTATGAACTGCAGGAGAGCAATGTGCGTCTGAAACTCACTGTAGTCAATACAGTGGGCTTTGGGGACCAGATCAATAAAGAAGACAGGTAATAGTTCAACTTGCAATTTACAAAACACAGAGAAACATTTGTTTGTTTGGGTAATTGTTTCTGTTTATACAAAGACCATTTTCATATTAAGTACTTGTATTTGTAGCTACAAACCCATTGTGGAATTCATTGATGCACAGTTTGAAGCATATCTTCAAGAAGAGCTGAAAATCAAGCGAACGCTACACAATTACCATGACAGCCGCATCCACGCTTGCTTGTACTTCATTGCACCTACTGGACACTCTCTCAAGTCTCTGGACCTGGTCACTATGAAGAAGCTGGATAGTAAGGTAAGCCTCTGTAACATTGCTGACATATTGGATAAGGAAAGTAGATGTGTTAATGAAGGGAATAAAGTGCATTCTGGGGTGTATATAATTCAGAATGTATTTAGCTTACAGCTTCTTTGCATGGATCGCTGTGTGTGCAGCATGATCTTGAATTTACAGATTTACCTAAGGGGCAGGGCTGGGGAATATCACAAAAAATTGCAAATTTTCCTTATATTGTTCTATTAAGATTTTTGATTCAATCCATCGATCAATGTTTACTCACTTTTAGTTTTGTGTTATGACCACATTGCATTAAGATTCTAAAGTACAGTGTAACATGTGGCAAACATTTTTAAATTTGAAGTTTGAAAAATACTTTGCATTGATGCCACTTATCTATCAGTGCTGTTTTCTGCATATTTCTTACAGGTTAATATTATTCCCATTATTGCCAAGTCTGATGCTATCTCTAAGAGTGAGCTGGCTAAGTTCAAAATCAAAATCACCAGTGAGCTGGTCAGCAATGGAGTGCAAATCTACCAGTTCCCCACTGATGACGAGTCTGTGGCTGAGATCAACTCTACAATGAATGTAAGATAACATGTAATTCTTTGTTAAGACATTATATATAGAGAGCTTGTTTCTTTCTGTGTAAATGGGGACTCGCATCTGTGGTTTTATCTCTTCCTATCTACTTAATTCAATAGAGCCATTTGCCATTTGCTGTGGTGGGGAGCACAGAGGAGGTGAAGATTGGGAACAAGATGGTGAAGGCCAGGCAGTACCCCTGGGGGACAGTGCAGGGTAAGTTCTATGAAAAGAGATGGGAGGTTCTGTCCCATCCAAAATACCCCACTCAATTTCATACTTGGAGGCAGCCGCAGTAACTACAAATGAGTTGGTAATTTGTTACATAACCAAAGTTAGTAGCCTCTTTTCTTCACAATACATGCTATCTGCAGCCTTTAGTCAACACATTTTACCGAATATGACCCAATAATTGATTTCAGTGCTGCCTGTGGAGCAATGTCAGTCCATCAGTATCAAGTTAGTGATATATTATTCTCTGTTGTGAACCCTTGTAAATAGCTAACTGTAATATTGATTGTGTGGAGGGTGTACTGTTACCCCAGCCAAAAGCTAAAAATCCATATTGAGTATTTCAATGACAGCCTAGAAAGATGGTTATATCATGCACATGGGCTAATAATAACTTAAATTTACTCCATATTATCTGTGCCAATCATCAGATACAATGGCACCCTACCTATTATGGTATCTCCTCCTATGTATTTTTTAAACCATCTTCTTGTTCATAAACTTGTTTTATTATGATTTTTGTGTGTTTACAGTGGAAAATGAGAATCACTGTGACTTTGTTAAACTACGGGAAATGCTGATCAGAGTAAACATGGAGGACTTGCGGGAGCAGACACATGCACGTCACTATGAGCTTTACCGCCGCTGTAAACTGGAAGAGATGGGCTTCAAAGATACAGACCCGGACAGCAAACCCTTTAGGTAACATGGCAGTACTCTGTTTTTGTGCACCCCACTGAAATGCTGTTAGGAATTCTAGTGCTTTATAGAGATGGTTAATAAATAGGGCACCCACCTGTCCCTCTGTGGCTTGTACACAGCCATTTAGGCCCCTGTCCCTCGTCCTACTTTTTTGGAGAATGTCCCACTTTTCTGCTGATGCCACATGAATTATAAAATAAACATAGAAAAAACATAATCATAGAAAACATAATCATATATATTTCCCAGTATTATGTAAATATATATTCTCATCTGCAGTCTCCAGGAAACCTATGAGGCAAAGCGAAATGAGTTTATGGGTGAGCTACAGAAAAAGGAAGAAGAAATGAGGCAGATGTTTGTCCAGAGAGTGAAGGAGAAAGAGGCGGAGCTCAAGGAAGCTGAGAAGGAGGTATAGTTGTTGCACTTTTAATTTTAATTATAATGCAGTTTTTAAATCTATTGTACTATTTTGTCATCTTATCTAGCTACATGAAAAGTTTGACCGCCTGAAGAAGCTCCATCAAGATGAGAAGAAGAAGCTGGAGGAAAAGAAGAAGTCTTTGGATGATGAGCTCAACATGTTCAAACAGAAAAAGACTGCGGCAGAGCTACTGCTGAACCAGGCCCAGCAGGCAGGGGCATCTACCACACTTAAGAGGGACAAAGAGAGGAAAAAGTAAGTATGGCGTTTCTCCCTGGCATCTGGCTTTCTCACTACAAGTATACTAGAGTTGTTGAGACATTCCTGTCTAGCTATCAAGAGCAAAACAATGAATCCGTGATTGCAATATGTGGTGCTTGCACTTTGGGTACTTTCTCTTTTAATTCTGTGCTGGTCTTCTGTTGAAGCTGATGTGACTCGGTGCCTGTTAAAAAAGGAAGACGACACTTGCACTGAGAAGGTTTCTGTCTTTATTACTTAAATTTGAATGTACTTCTCCACAGCCACCTCTGTCTGAACACTGCTTTCTAAACACTTTCCGTCTACAGTCTTTGGAGGTCTAATTTTTAAAGTCTTTTCAGTAATTTCAGTTTAAAGCTGGTTTCATATAAACTGTGGTTTTGATTACACCTTGCATAAAAGTTAATATGTTTTGTGAGTGCATGTGTAAACCTGTATTGCATTCATAATGTTTTCCAGTTAACTTCTTCCAAACTTGATGCATGCTGCATGAGGCATCTTTTCTGGTAAGGCGTCATGACAAAAATTGCTTTGGAAATACATTATGTTTGAGTAGAATTTACCACAACGTGTACTGTATATTAAAACAGTGGCCACTACAGACTTTGCCATCACTGTGTCAGCTTCTGAATAAACCAGTTTATCCACTTTTATACACCAAACATGTTGAAGTACTGTGCCCTCTGCCTCCCCATATCCACAATGATCCTTTTATGTAGCTTTCTTCTCCCCACCCTCATCTGGGCTTGTACAAAGAGCTATTCATGACTGAGCTTAGACTAATGGGTCAGACCTTAGCAGAAAACTGCCTCTGGGCCTTTCTGTTTATTGATATGACATGTTGTGTTTGATGTCATAGCCATATGACGACCCTTGTTGTCTTCAATCCACTCAATACAACAGAGAGAGAAAGATATTCACGTCAAACCACTTGGGAGGGCCAGTAGCTTCTGTTAACTCAAGACTGATTTTTGAAAATGCAATTGATTTATTCTGGCCAATTGCAAATGATGTATTCCTTACATCACTGTGAAGGTTATCGTTCAGTTTACTAAAATATCCACTCACATCTTGTGTGTCCAATTAACAAAGAAAGCATTAACAGGCATTCTGTTTTATTTTCAGTGAAGGATTCCTGTAGAGGTGCTTGTGGCCATATCGCTGTGAATGAGTTTCTACCCCATCCTACCTTCCCTTTCCCCAGCTTCACCCTCACCTGAACCCTCATGTGTAACCCTCCACATGCCTTTGTTTTGTGGAAGCTGTTGGGCAACGCTTCTCACTGCTGAATGTACCACTTAAATCTAATATTTACGAAGAGTTGTTGCTTTTTGTAGTGTTAAAAGCAATTGTATAGCTTTTTTTATACAAATCTGAATATTATGAATTTCTTTTTGTCATATTGCATGGTATAGTGTGAAGTGTGCTTTTGAATTCAAACATGCGTGGCTACTTTTGTGATAAACAAAACTGTGTGGGCTAAAATGAAGCATTCACACTGGGACTAGGATGTGGCATTTAATAATTAATATATTATCTTAGGGTAGAGTAAATTGGTTACAGTGGTGTGGTAGATTGTAATAACATTGATAAATAAGAAATACCATCAAAAGCTAAACCACAGACTATGTCCCTGTTCTAATGCCATTTCATTCTACCCGGATGCATGAATAGTACAAATCTAATCTTTGAGCCACCTATACTATATCTCATACTGCCATGAGTTTTTTTGCTTACTTGTATTAGCTTTCACATTTGCACTTTTCTTATTACACCAATGGGACATTTTAAATGTGTCAGTGCAATTGTATCTTTCTCTTTTAAATATATTTCTTTTAATGAAGGCACATAAAGTCATACATCACTCCCACTGCAGGGACCAGTATTTTCTGTATCAGTGTTGAGCACAATAGATAAAAAATAAAGATACATTTCTCCCTAAATTTAAAACTCTGACTATACTCATTTTGTGTAACAGGTTGAATGTTTACATTTGGTTTTGATGTATTGTTTTGTAACTGCAGTTTTTCAGGCCCAGTCACAGTTAAGATCAGAATTGCTCCCCTGGTCAGCTCACTGGTTTGTGTATTCACTCTCATTTGCAGTAATCCATGGCTCTGCACTGAGTAGGTCCTTCGTCCTGACCAGACGCACTGTGGACACATCGTTAATCTTTACCCCACTTTACCTTAAATGGTTCTTGTATTGTACCGCCTGCTGCTTGTATAACTTCCATTTGCGCAATTCAAGATTTTCTTTCAAATGCACTTAATAATATAACTCTTGGCACTAACAATTTTTTTCAATTTATGTCATCATGTAACATCACAGGATTATTTGTTTACCTGGTGTTAATATGGAACAAATGGGGCTTTGCAACTCCATGCAGATAAAAATCAAACCTATATCCATCTTTCGTCTTTTCAAACTGAAACTTTAAATCAGCCTCGGCTTCTCTAACATCTATATTTCTGTCTTTTTGTCTCTCTTTAGCTTCTTTTAAACTGTCTTGGTCGCTTGAAGACGAGATAGCATCTTCAGCAAGAATCAAACATCCTTAACTGCTTCCTGCTTTTCTCACTTTATGCACCTGTTTATTTCCCCATTGCATCGTTAATTGTTAATCATGGCCTTATGTGGTTCGCATGGTATTCCTAAATACCTTTTGAACTTGGCACCAATAATGTCTTTTCCACATGTAGGTTTTAATCTGCTGTGATTACATATACCGGTAGTCATCTGAACTCTTGTTAATGAGAAGCCTATTCATCTTACACAGCACAGACATTAATGCACCACCACAACATTTAATCAAAGAGAAAAGCACTTAATGCACTATGTAGGAATTATACAGTGTTATTATCATTTATTGTTAAGCATTATATTTAGAATTTTAAGTGGCATTAACAACACACACATAAATGCAATATGTAAAATAGGAAAAATATAATCATGTCCATACCAAAGCAATATTTTGTTATGACTTCTCTGAGGTGCCAGTTTGGTTACTGTTGATACCATGGGTGTCACATGAAAAAGGCCTTTTTTTTAAAAAAAAAACTTTGTGCTTTAATATTTGCTGTCTTTTTTTTTTTTTTTTTTTTTTTGCATGTGTATTATTTAACACGCCTTGCTTTGAGCGCTTGTATTCAACCCTTGACGACATGCAGTCTTAATTTAAGTACCATATTGTTTAAATGGTGAATTTTACTGTATATTAGTTATAATTGACCTGCGACTTCAACCTTTTTGCCAAATATTATTCAAAAAATTGTGTGAATTGAATCCCAGATTTCAGTATTGAGGTATACTTACGCATTTATATAATTTATAAGGATATATTTTGTGTATTGAAGTGAATATTTGTTGTTTATTACCTATGATCTTTAGATGTTTTTCAGAGTGTGAAGTAACATTAGGTGTCATAAAATTTACATTTATTCAGTCATCACCTTCAATATTCGAACCTACCACTTAACATTTAACTCAGTTCAGTGTGTTACTTAAGTTTGATTCTTCTATTGTACATTTTCAATAAAATAATAATAAAAAGAATAATTCTTGATTTGTTGTTTCTGACTGTTTTACATACTGCTCGGTTCCTTAAAAATAACTTTCTCACAGTAATAATGCATTTGTGAGCAATAAAAACACCTATAATTACATATGCGATTTATTTAAGTTCAGTGCCATGCCGTACTGTGGAATAATTCAGACAAAATAAACACTTCACGGGGACGAGCAAGTTACATAATGCAACTTTAAATTAATATATATAAACCTAACATAGACGGGGCTGCAGTCACATGGAGTCAAGTGGGGGGAGGACGACGCTCCTCTGCTCTGACCTCACAGATCCATGGCTCTGACACTAGTGCAAAGGATTGTGGGTATTTCCGGTTACCGATGTCTGTTTTCTGCCTGAGAATAGATGCTTAACCCTATGGTCAACTGTTGTTTTATCCGCGCTATTTATGCATAAATTCTTGTGCATCATCATAATTAAATATCAAGTGGGCAATACGGATATCGACCAGTTAAAAAAAAAACATAGTGTCGGGTTTAGATCAGTAACCTAATGCTATTCCTAGCCCAGACATCAGCGGTGTTTGTAGCCTAGCCTGCAGACGTGAGCGTGGTTTTATTTGAAATGGACAAGCAGTTTATTGTCCTCTAAACCATTGTTATTTTATCATTGCTCTTCCCAACTGGAGCACGGCTGAAGGTAATGACCTTTCCTAATAAGTAAACAAACGCTTTCTTTGCTTACTTCACTTACTGCTGCCTTAGCTGTAGTCATAGATATTGAACGTTCAATATCAGTCAACTCTCTTTTGATTTTTGACATTCACACCGTCCCTTGTCTTATGATTGAAACATATCTCATTACTCTTGCTTCCTAAAATGCATAGTCTCTAATGATCCTCTTCGCCCTCCACAGATCTAAACTGGACGTGGCGTGGCCTAGTGATGGCAGGGTTTTACCGCGGCAGAGTGACACCTTTTTACCCTAATCAAGCTACGAGTGCTGGAAAGAGGTTCTATTCCCCTGATGACAGTAAGTAAAAGTTTGCGCATTTCGTTTTTTGGTACTAGATAGATAAACTGGGACTGTTTCAATGAAATGCCATGGTTTATACTACGTTTAAGTAATTCTCTGTTAAAATTACCGCCAGTCACGTTGTTGATGCTTGAAGGTGATTCTAGCATCAACTGATTTCCAGCTTGTTTGCTTCGCTTAATTGGTTGTATTCATGCAGGAGATGAGCCACCAAGGAAGGCCCCAGCATTACATTTTGGCTCCAGACCTGGATTTGAGCCTGTACCCTTTGTCAGTAGTGGAAGCAGTACTGGGAGGGCTCATGAGAAGGAGAATGACCAGCGTAAGAGGAGTGAGCTGCACAGTTTTCCACAATGGGAGTATGATCACTTGCCCTACAGTAGTCAAGTACGTGAACCTGCCTTTGACAGAGGGTCATCCTACAGCTCTGACGGTAGGAGTTTCCATAGAGACAGGGACCAAGAGTTTTCTGAATCAACGTTAGGTTTAGGCTATAGTGACGGTGGCTCCGCATCTACATTTATGGCAAGAACAGAACGGGAATACACAGCCAAATTTGAAGCCCATTCTTCTGGAAACATTGACTTGTTTTCACTGCCCCAGAGGTATGATGGCATTGGTGGTGGTAGCAGGTCAGGTCTGGGATATAGCCATAGAAATCAGCCCTCAACTAGCAGGTTTTGCAGCAACAAAAGTCCCGCCGTTGCTCAACCTGAATCTCTGTTTCAGTCTCCACCAATATCTCAGACAACAGTTGATGAGAAGCAGCGAATTATTGCTAATGTAGCATCTGCTATTAAAGTTGCCTTTGGGGATCCAGCATGCAAAAATACAAATAATGAACCAAACTATAATTTCATCTTAAGTCGAAGCATCCAAGCTTGCAAAACAAATCCTGAATACACTTATGTCAACGTGAAGGACATTCCCCGAGCTGACTTACCAAAAAACAAGAAAATGCCATCTGACGGCTATGCCTGTGAACTTCGGTGTCAGCAGGTTTATCTTTCCACTGGGTATTCAGGCAGTAAGAATGGAGCGAGGGACCGTGCCTCAGAGCAGGCGGTAAGACTTTTCTTGAGACCAGTGGAGGTTCGTGTTGTGGAGCGCAAATACAAACACTCAGTACTAAAAGACATGGTTGTGTGCCAGGCACACAGTCCAACCCCAGCCTTTTTACCTGCTCTTTGTAACCCAGTGGAAAAGCCTGCAAGTTCTAAGGGACAATTTGAGCCTGACAGTCAAAAACATTGGAGGGAGTTTGTGGTTGTCGAAAATGCTCATGATGCAATATGCATTCTCAACAATTCAGCGGCTTATAACCGCATGAAAATAGACTATAAATTTGACCAGCTCCCAAACAATATTTGGGTTTGCAGAGTGTTTGTACAAGATGAGCTCTTGGGAACTGGAAAAGGCAATAAAAGGTCTTCAAAACATATAGCAGCTGATGACGCCCTAACCAAGCTCAGAAGGAATCAGGAAATGCGCCAGCAGCATGGGCAACAACAGTCTCACTTTCACAGGCAACAGGCAAACAGTCAACAAGATGATGAAGGTTTTGGACCTCAGCTTCATAAGCATCGAAGTGATCTAGTAATTCTGGAAAATTCAGATAATGCAATTTGTATCATTAATGATACTGCTCAGTTTAATAAAGTGACGGTTGATTACAAGTTCTCAGTTCTGCCCAATCAGTCCTGGAAGTGTGAGGTTTATTTGGAAGGACAATTTGTTGCAGCAGGAGAAGGGCCTAAAAAAACAGTTAAGCACATTGCAGCAAATGAAGCCCTAAAAACACTAAAGCAGACGCATTCTGTAGTAAAAGCAAACATAAGAAAAGATAGCACTTCTGAAGCCATATCAAGATCACAGATTATGGGCCGCTCGGGTGAGGAGGACATGAAGCAGGAAATTAAAGAGGATAATATTGGGAACCAGCTGCTGCGCAAAATGGGATGGAAGGGTGGAGGCCTGGGTCGTGATGGAGAAGGTATTGCAGAACCCATCAGAGTAAAAGAGCAGTTTTCTAGAGAAGGTCTTGGCCTGGATGGAGATAGTCAGCTGAACAAGCGCGACCTTGAGGATGTCATACGTAACTATGCAGCTTCAGACAGGCAGGATGATCTCCGCTTTTCCTCTGATCTGACCAATGATGAACGCAAACAGATCCATCAGATATCTCAAAAATATGGCCTTCGGAGCAAATCTTATGGGCAGGGAAAACAGCGATTTCTTATTGTTAGTCGCAAAGTACACAAAGAACAGCTGATTGGGCAGCTTTTACAGGAAGGACAAGTGGGACGATATGAGCTTATAAAACCTCAGGCCTTGCATTAATATACAAAGTAGAATATATTTAAGTCAGGTAATGGCCAGAGTATGCATTTCTTTTTTTACTTGTGTTTCTGTAAAATACTTCAGAACTTGCACAAATAAACTACTACTGTAGTCAAACACATCTATAGAGAATTTGTTCATATTGTTCTGGGTAATGCCTGTCTTTGATTTTTCAATTTACATTTAACATGTTGAATTTACTTGAACTGCATCATATTTTTCAAGTTAAAATAATTACCTCTTTAAAGAATGTTTTATGTTGGTTAACCTGCCAGATTGAAATATTTGTGATAAAATATCCATTATTTGAAGCTGTAAATACATCTGGGTTAAGCAATAAATAAAAAATATAGCACATCTTCTTCATATGAAAATGTTAAAATGTTGTACAAGTGACTGGTTTATATTTATTTTATTTACAAGAAAATGTACAGTTTGTTACATGGGTTACCAGTGCAAAGTTGTATGTTCTGAAAAGACAACATCTTTCAAACTGTATACTGAGTGGCTGATAGTGTAAAATAGAGTAGAAATATCCTCACACAAGCGCTACACTTTGGACTTTTGAAAGTGCAACACCTTTAGCTATTTAGAAATGATCTAAGATGTGTGTAAATTAAGGACCATTGTATTGACCAGTATCTGAAAGAGATTTAAAAGAAGGCATGAAGAAAACACACCAAAGGCATTTGTGAAGCTGTAAAGGGAATAAATAATCAAAAATAGTTTAATATTTAAAGATCCCTCTCTTAAGGCTGTTAAAACAAAAAAATGATTACAACCCCTATGAATTTTAACTGTGCTGAATTCAAACCACACAGAAAATATTTCAAACTGTCTCTCTATCAAAAACTGTCAGACACAGTCTAATAAACAAAACACTTGGGGCATATGGCAAGTAACCCAGATATAACAAGGTACATTAACTTTTAACAAACACGCTATTGCCAGACAACAGCATCTGTCAGGATCAAATGCCACAACACAACAGCATACAAACTTTAAACATTTATGGGAGAAGTATATTATACTGTACTTAGAAGAATGTTGCAATATGTCATTTTATGATTGTGTAATTGTTTTTTCTTGGTTGTGGACTAGACACTGGTGGTCATATGTGAATGATAACAGGGGTCAACAGTCACGCCAACTCTGTTCAACAATAGCAGAAACCCTCTTCTCATACTCCCGTTTGTTTTCCTGGTACAGCTGGGCCGCTTGACTGTTAGCTGGACTGTTGGGGTTTGGTTCATCCAGTAATGACTTAAAACACAAATGTATAAGGTTAAAATTCTATTAAAATTGAATTGTGCTGCAAAGAGCTGTAAAACACTAAATGTGTACACTATATAGTCACCTGTATTGATGTTAAGATTGAAGAGACATCATATGTTGGACTCCAGCGGTTCTGAAGTATATCTAAGCATATGCTGCCATCAGCATACACTGTAAAGAGAAATAATGAGTAATAGACCCATGCACATTGCTGGTTGCTGTACTGTACATACCATTTGGGTGAAACATTTTGGAGACAAATCGCACTGTTGGGGGTTTATTTGGATATTCCTCTGTAAATTCAATGGTGAGTTTGAAGGTACCTGTAACAATACAATGCCATTCAGTACACAACAAAGTACATAGTTATTTCTTCTAATTAATTTAATGTTAATGCTGAGAAATAGTTTTCAGTAAGATGTTTTTAAGATGTCTGCAGCTCATGTTCATGTATTTGGATCATATGAAGAGACTCACCATCTTCAAAAGGTGTTCCCTCTGGACTGAAAATGGAAAAAAGCAGTTCGTTATACAAATATCCCAGAGTTAAATATAAGAAGACAACGTTACACATTTAATGATTATTGTGTTTTACCCAAAAATGACTGCATTCCAAACCATAATGTTGTTTTCAGATGGGGCACCACTGACACCAGCTGGAGGATCCTCTTGCAGCCTGCAAAACAAATCAGCTGTAAAATATGTGACAATAACATGCATCAACAACACGAGTTAAGTTTAATTGTTTTCTAAATAGGAGCACCAATGAATTAACAGAGGTTTACAAAAACCTAAAAGTACTGTAGGAGCCTAATGGTAATACAGAACTAGCGGCATTATCATGGTGCCATGATCTCGTTGCCTGACATAAATATACCAACCATATGCTCTGTCTTCAATATTAAGTTTAAGAGTTTAAGTGTAATTCCTATTTGTATTAGCTTGCTTATGTGATGCGGTGCGGTCTGTCGCAGGTCTAAAAGCTGGTTTGGGTTAGCTAATATTAGCTGTGGGTTAGGCTCTCGACTGTAGCTTCACCCTGTTTTGGTTTTGTCTTACCGTTTAAAATCTCTCATCAAACGTCTTCTAGCTGGCGTTGACATCTTGTGTGTGGTAGAATTTAAAGCCTCAGCATATACTGTACCGGGTGAGGTCTGCTAATTTATAATTATCCAAAGTATAATTTGAAGCTAGCTCGCTAGCCAACGATGGCTAGTTTGTCAAATATTTGGCCGTCCCTGCTAGGACACTACCACATGGTACTACAGCGAGGGCTCCTACACTGCTTATAAAAACGCGTGGCTGAGTTGTGAAACCAATACCAACACAAATAACATGTATGAATACTGTAAATAACCCAGGTCTTTGACAGTGAAATGAGCCAAGCGATACCAGACTAGCTGCAAATCTGCGTGGTCTCTCTCTATGGATACAGCCTCCCCCCCATCAGTGCACTTGTACCAACCCAGAGAAAATTACGTCATCTGTTTAGAGGTTTGGAATTATTTATTTTTATTTATTTATTGATTTATTTTTACCAATGTCTTGGCTTTAGAGTTTCGGCGAATTCTCCCAATGTCTTGTGATTTGCGTTTACTTTGTATTGAATTAATATGTTTTCGGACGAATAAAACCCAAACATCTCATCTATGCGAACGCGGAGTGTTTCCTATGTGCAGTCATTGCAGTTGTACTGAGAGAACACTAGAGGGCACTTGACGCTCAAGATTCAGAGCAGGGTAACAGCTATAATGGAAACGGGGCTTGAGACACTGTAGTTATAACAGACTGTTTTGAAATGGTGTATCGTATCCATATCAATACAAATGATACAAGAGTCTTTGTTTTCTGTTTTTGTTATGATTAGAAAATAGAGGATAGATCAAAAATAGTGTCCCATATGGTCTAGCGGTTAGGATTCCTGGTTTTCACCCAGGCGGCCCGGGTTCGACTCCCGGTATGGGAACTGTGTTTTCATAATCTTTGGTGCCTGCTCTATGTACATTAAGGATTTAATACATCTTGCAAAACAAGTGTAACTGTAGACCACATGGCCAATTTGGTTGAGGATAGTGGGAATGTAAACGACCCCGCCCGTGATGGGAGCTATCCTCTATTGCTCTCAGGGCTTGTTCCGGGAAGGTCTCTGCAGTCCGACGTCGATGATCCTGCGGCGCCTACACAGCGGGATTTGAATAGGTGACAAAAATCGCGCGCACCTGAAGGTTGCGCGTGTGCCATTAATGTAGTTAAACGTGCTACATACTAAGCCTAAATTGTTGTAAACTATACTGCAGGGTTGGACATGTGGTTATTTTAACTTAACGAGATCCACTTCAATAGATTAAGGTTGTTATTTTTTTTAACTAAAAAAAATGCTCGTGCTTACTGGGCCAGCTTGTTGCTCTGTCAGAGTTTGGTGTTGGGCCAATCGTTTCCCAGGAAAATGTGACTAGTAGGAATTCCCCACGCATCAGTACTGCCTGCCTGGGAGAACTGCAACCTTGTGTCAGGACTGGAGCACTACGAGAGCAGTGGGAGGACGGTCACTGCCCGGCGTCAGACTGTCAAGATGGAGCTTATGCCGTGCACTATCCCAGAACCGGCACTGGAGCCTTCTGGGTCATGTTTATGAGGAATGTCATCAGCCCGACGCTTATCCACAGTCTGCGCCACAAAAGAAGACTTCTGCAAAGGTAAGATTTCATGGTAACTTGTATTCACCCACGTAAACTATCCTTAATGTGCTTAGATCTATAGAATACGAGAGGATGAACTAAAAGTCGTGATTTTATGCCGTTTTAGGCCTCTTAACTTTTTGGGTTAGTTTAGCAGACTGTTGGCTAAACTAAAAAGGCATGACTTAACTCATGTGAGTAGCCACAGGGCTCCATGTCATTTTCTCTACTACACAGATAAACTGTTCTAAAGACTGATTCATTCCTCTTGCTAAATGATAATGAATCACATGGCAATGGAGTACTTTGACATAGCATTCATTTTAGTCACTTCACCGTTATTTAATTATTAAAAAAATACACCAAGAACAGAGTGAGCTCAAAAATGTGCTTTTGTTTGTGTGTAAAATGCCCAACTTAAGAGTTAGCCAATCCTTGTCTGTGGTGGTTGAAATGTTTGCCAGATGTTTAGATTTTTGGGCTAGGATGCTTGGATATGGGACAGACAAACAGCTACCTCATTGGTGGACTGTCTGCTGTTATTTTCTGTGGAGAAGGAGGCGTGCCACTTTAGGAATGGAGAAGTTACCAGTAAGTGCCCATAGGTTAGACTGGACCAGCTGGATCCCACAACCCATTTGATTAATAAATGAATAATGCTGGTAAAAATTTGGGGATAGTTGCAAACCAAAATTGGAAGCCTTGCCCTTAAGTGTGACAAGTTTGTCTTTTAACTTGGTAGTTTTAAATCTAACTTGAACTACTTTGTATTTGTATAGTCCAGAGGCTCTTTCAAGTTTAAAGTGCAGATTTTTTAGACCACAAATCAGACAAACAAATTGCAGTCTAAAGCAAGTCAAGCCAGCAGCATAGCATGTCTAACTCTGATCAAATTTACTCTAAAATCAATACACTGTAACCTAACCTATACTGAATTATACCATCCCAAAATTACTATAGAATTATGAATTACTCCATTTAAAACAAGAAGCCCCTGTCCCCCTGTTTGAGACTCATCCCATTCAGTGTTTGCACAGAGGGCTGATTTAACACATTGCTCTTCCCGGCAGCTTTGCTTAGCCTGTCCCTGTGACGTCAGACCCGAGCAGGCAAAGCAGATGAGTGTGATGGTGACCCAAGGACAATAGAGGGCTGTTTTACTCACATAAGTGATAAGAGTTCCTCAGACATCAGCCACTTCTCCTTGGTACTGTTCAAGTTCAGACCAACCCAGCATAATGGCCTCCTAGTTATTGATTTGACTATGGACAAAAAAGAACAGAGCTTTTATTCCATTTAGAGAGCTGCACTCCAGGTCTTTGGACTGGCCTTCCCCAGACAAGAGGAATCTTGTAACCCATTTGTTCTTTAATCAGCAGTAGTCTTTGAGGATTATGGTATATTTGTCATTTATTTTAGATGTTGGTATACAATTTACATTCTTACCTTCACTCTTAAATAGTGCTGCATTGTGACTGAAGTAACATAAGGCAGGTGAACAAGGACTGTGCAATAGAATCCAAAAGTAGTCACTAAATGACAATGATTGGGTCTTTCTGTTTGAGAGGTCTACAGTCAATTTTCTGCCAGTAAAAGCATGTCAGTTTTAGATATGTTTGGAGGATGAAATTGGACTGTTTTATGTTATTAATGATGGTTATCAAAAGCCAGTCTTTTTTAAGTTTGGGAAATTCATGTAAAATACATTTTTACAAAGTAAAATCAAGTAAAAAATTGTGATTGATCAATATGAGAATGTTGCTAAACTTTCACACTTAAATTGTCACACAGGTAATGCCGAAGTATATTTGAAGCAGCCTAAGTCAGGCTGTATTGGCTGATAAGTGTAAATGAATTTGTTACCTCACAAATAACCACAAGATGGCAATGTGGATGAGCTGCCTCTGTTGTCTTAAAAATGAAGAAACCTGTGGGCCCAAATGAGAAATAAAACTAATGTAACTTCCTGTTTTGAATTAAAAAAACAAAACAAAAACACTTTAGAAGTTTCTGGGGAACTGCTATTTGTTAAGTTCCTTTTTTTGTGTCGCTTTTTCTCCACCTCTAGTCAAATGACACCTGTGCTTCACCTTGTCGGCCATGTTTTAGGCAGTTGGAGAGTGCAGCTAGTGGACATGACGTCAGGGAGAGGGACGTGTAGGGAAATTCCACCTGTAACCTCATTCTACAACCATGGTTTCAGCAGCAGCATGTGACTGTGTTGAGCCACTGACTGTGCCTTTAGCGTTCTCCATGAATCTGTGCATTCCTGTGATGTAATCGGCCCTTACCACAAAGGCTATATTTGGGACAAAGCAAAGGAATCTGTGTTACATATTTGACAGTATAATGTTTGGTTTTTGGTCATATAGTAGGCCAAGTCAAAAGTCAGTAATGACCTACTGATAAAATTATATCAGTGAGAGTTACTCAAATCCTTTTGAACAAGGAATGTCAAGACTAGGCAAATTTGTAAGGTTTGTTGTCAAAACGGTCAAAACACCCAATCAACAATCACTCAGAAAGTTGGATTTCAGAAAGTTGTCACATATATTTTACATAATCTATCAGACATTGTGACTGAAAGCAAATGATAGATTTAAAAACTCAGTAACTAAAGAAGTGTATGGTATTTACATATTTATCTATCATGAATTATTATTTAAAATTTTTATTTAACAGTAATGTGATTATGTATAACTCTAGAAAAGCATGGCCTTTTAATCATATGGCATCTTTTTTTAAAGCAAATCCTTAAAATTCCAATCTGTATGAATAACGTTTGTGACATATTTCCAGAAATGCTCAAAAATCAAGCTTCTCGTACAAAATAATTAGGTGACTTTGTTTTTGATGGCATTATCTAGTAAGATTTAAGATTCAAGTTGTACAATTCAAAGATACAAGGCTGTCACATCAAATTGTCATTGTGATTCAGATACAGATAAGGGTTAAAGTAAATATAACATGGATTCTAGGTCTTAGAGGTGACTGATCTTTTTTCCGGATGTGGCCATTATGAGACATCATCAGTTGGACTCTATGACACATTCTGAATTACCCTGGCCTGTACACTTTATAGCTTGGGCATGGGCCTCCTAACTGGTTGGGTTATAACATCAGGGAGTGTCTTTATCACAATGTTGACCACATGCTTTTTCATATAAATAGTAACTAGCACTGTCTTCAACTTTAGTTATGCTATTTATCATGTCCCATATGATTTGGGTTAGGTTAAGAGTGAAATATTGAATTTGCTAATATTATAGCTTAGGCTAGCATTTGACTTAGGTTAGCACAATTATTTAGAAGACCTATATGTCTGTGTTTGTGGGCTATGCAGCAGAAGAACCAGACTTACAGACTTACTGTTCTTCTGATCTTTACAACTTAATTCTTGCTCAGTTTGTAGAGACACTTTCTATAAGCTTTACACTTACACATTTTTATGAATATTTTCTGTGTATTCTATTTTCAATCATTTAGCTGTAGTAGCATTTTGAAAAGGTTGTCTTTTTTTCTACTTATGTTAAGTAAACATGTATTATTGCCACAAGATGAAATTACTCAGAGTAGGCCATTTGTGTTTACGTATTTTAAGCAACATTTCTACATTGTGTTGTATAACATCAGTGCATTTGTTGAACAATGTGACTTTTTGCTGTTTTAAGATCTCCAACTCTGCAGTATTTGGTCAATCCAAAATGAATGTTGGGTTATTTTAGCCACAAATGAGTCATAAGTTGAATCCTATCATGCTGAATACTGTTATCCGTTAGACTAAATTTGTACTAATTAATGAGTAACTCAACGCACACTAAAAGCTTTGTCTGGATAGTTACGTACACTGAACCTTGTTACGTCTACTTTTTTTGAGTCATCTACTTTCCCCAAGTGGTCACTGTCCAGGAATTGAACACTTCCTTTAGTGTTGCAAAATAGGGACAATGGCATTTTTTAATTTATAATACTAATTTACATTGCTCCTCCACTCACCCTCTGTCTCCTGTATATGTACTTGTGCTCTGTGTTTGCCCGTGTGTGACAGTCACAGTTGAAAGCATCTTTGCAGCTGAACGACTACAGGAGCAGCCATAAGATGACCTCTAGAGGCTACACAAACAGTTGTGTCTCTGCTCCAAATGCTCCAAGTCTGACCTACCCAGGGCTGTTTGTCAGGTTATAAATCCTCAGCATTCCTCTGCAGCTTCGAAGTGAAGGATGTTTTTGGGGTGGATGGTGGAGAGTTCTGTCTGGTACAAGGTGAACGTTTTAGCTTTTTTGTTCCTACATTTTTGTAGTCTATATATTTTGGTACATGAAAATTAATTAACATTTATATGTAAGTGCCTGAGTTAGCTACCTAATCAATACTATGGCAATTAGTGTTACATATAAGTAAAGGTTATGTAATACTTATGCTATGTAATAAACGCTTTGTAATACTGAAGTTCATTTTGACATATTCATAATATTTTGAATGTGTGATGCAAAATTTGATTTGAATATCAAATATATTTATTATAATAAAATACTGAAAAAATACTGATTAAGAGTGAAAAACAAACTTCCAAATATAAATGTATCTCTACATTTTTGTGGGTAATTTACAGTAATTTTGTCTGAGACTTAAACCTCAGTGAATAAAATCATGTTCTGTTGTATTGGCCTAATATTGTCTCATCAGTATCGGAATCAAAAATATAATACATTTAAGATGATCAGAATATTAATTTCTGTTATTGACCACCACATTGCTACATAGTTAGTTGTGATAATGGTACTGTTGACTCAAAGCTACCTATACCAATATATAGTATTGCTATAGGTAACCTCACTTCAGCTGCAGCTGTGGCTACAATAGTAGCTTACCATCATGAAGTGTGACGTGAATGAATAATGTTCTGTAAAATGTCTCTGAGTGTCCAGAAAAGCACTAGATAAAACTGATGCATGATGATGATGATGATGGATTATTATTATTATTATTATTATTATTATTATTATTATTATTATTATTATTATTATTATTATTATTAGGGTCAAATCAATAACACCTCAGCTCTGGTTAGTTCCTGTGGCCTGCTTTGTAATTAGGGCCTATTACACTAAATTGTGCCTTCTGTTGTGCCTTCTGTTTTGTTGAAACTGAGATTCCGAGGTGACCATCTCCTCCCCCCTTGCTCATAATGAGTGTGTTGCAGTCTAACTTGCAACAACATGTTTTTACTTACCAAGTTAATATGTTCTACTTATCTCTCATCTTCCAACTAAAAGACTTTTTGCTTTCAGTATTACAAAAATATTTCTTTCTTATAATGCAAACTTTTGGTTCTATAATTGTAGTTGTATGTGAAGTCTAAATGTATTTAATGTCATGGTTGCATCTACTTTTCATTTAACTAGTGTAATGTGTTTGCTATGTGGATACTAAATACTAATTAATAGTGTATCTATAAGTGCAGAAAAATGCATGCCCAGAATGCTGTATCTAATTTGTGTCTATCTAACTTGTTATTAACACTAGACACCAACTGATTTGGTTGTAAATTGGTATTATTAAAGCATCCATAGCTGTCAGTTAAGGTGAATGATGTTCAATAGGATGTCTGTGTCAGGTTGAGACAATGACAAAACCATGACCTCGTACCTTAAGTATGGGCCACATCTGTCATGTGAATAGTTGAATTGTGACATCAGAAAACTGCCAATTCATTCAAGCCATGGGCTGATCCTAAAAATAGAGTCACCTTATAATGTCCCCAATAAAGCCTTCAGGGTTTGGCATTACTAAGGGATGTTTTGCTCACAAAAATTAGAAATAAACTCCTACCATTATACTTAAAAGATTATAATAAGCAAGACAATAATAATAATAATAATAATAATAATAATAATAATAATAATATAATGGAAGGCTAACTATTTGTGCCAGTAGCTGATGTATTGATTATTGATTGATTATTTGGTTTATATTTCAAAGATCAGTCTCTTTATGTCCAACATTGGTTGCAGTTGGAAAGAGTGGGGGAGGAGCGAAAATGCAATCCAATCAAGAAGATGTAGACAGCTCTAACCTCAGACCACCATCTTCCTGTTAGTGACATTTTTCATCAAGATTGCTATCCTTCTAACTCAGCCTATTAGAGGTTTTATTTTATTTTTTTATTTTTTTTAAACTGTCATTTATAACATGATTTTTCAATCGTAAGAGTAAAAGCCAAATATACAATTTATTTATTTCTAGTTTTTTTTATTTATTACGTTTTACTATTTTGTGTATGTTTTCATAAATACATCATTAGCCTTGTTTTATGCTGGACTTTAACGCAGTACTAAACAAAGCAGACTGCATTATCATCCTGCATTTTTTTATTCAGTCATGAAGAATGCCATGTTACCTGAGGTGAAAGTTGCATCTGATATGTTTGAACTAGCTATCTCATCATTACAGAGGGACAAGAGTTATTGTGGAACAGTGACTGTGGGGAAGCACTGGCCACAGTTTTCAGTATAAATTTGACCGTGTGAGTTTCATTTCTGCATTTCATGACTGCTCATTTCGTGCACCTCCTCTTCTTCTTAGGACCAGTGATATTTTGGTCTATCACCCACTTCTACTTATTGCTATATGTAGTTTTATCGATAAACTTTCTGTTATTTGTCAGGTGATGTATTCCACCATGTATTTATCACCCAGTACTTTTCTATATTACACTGGTCAAAGTCTATGCTGCATACCTGACCTACTGTTTGCTCACCTCTACTCCTCCTCTTTCTCAGTAGAAACCAGTCTATCGTCTTTCATTCTAGGTGTGGCCCACTGGTAGGACCCTTTGACTCTCCCCTCCCCCGCCACTGCTCCAGCCAATCAGAGTCGTACCTGTGAACTCACCTGAAAGGATTTGCATGAAGGGCAGATGCCGCTCGCTGATTGGCCAGGTAAGACCTAGCTGCCTCAGGGCTCCCCCCAACCAATGGCGACAGGGCTGTGTGACTCAAAGGGAGAGGACAAGTTGCTTCACTACACTTCTCCTTTTTCTGTTTCGAAGCGCAGCCATTACATTGTGTGTTTTTGTATGTTTATTTGCTGCCTTGTGAAAAAGTTTGTGTTTGAGTGCGGATCCACACATTTAGCCTTCTTCTGAAATGCGCTGTGGAATATTCCTGCCTGACTTTGTTGTATATATTTTTTTGGTCTTATCTTTGGTTATTGACATCAGCGCTTGTGGATACAGTCACCAAAATCGCCTGTCTGTAAGGTTGGTTAATTATAACTCTTGCCTTCCTCTTTATGCCACATAGTTTTTATGAGTTATCACAAACTAATGATATTTAAATAATTTTGAAGACACATTATCTACAGATACCATTTCACTTGCTTTTTGTAGATTTTGTGTGACATACATACATACATACGTACACTAAGTGATTTGAGCAAATGTTTGTTTCTGTTGATAATACACAATAATATTGCATTCTTGATTTGAATGATCATATCAAATCGTGTATTCATGTCTTTCCATGTGGACTCATTTGTCCAGCATTTGAGAGAAGGTAACAGATAAGTTTAAATGATCCCAATTGAAGTTAATGTGAGGTAATTATGCTGAAACATGCTGTTGTTGTTTTACTTTTATGAATTGTTGCCTTATATGGCTGTCTAGAGCGAGGGCGTGAACACTGTTTTGCAAGCCCCTTAACCAAGCCCACATGTACTGTATCCAGTGTAGTAATCCATAATTAAAAATCATGTCAAATTAGATTTAGGATCAATTTGCAGACTTTGTACAAGTGTTATATCAGTGCACCAAACTGCATTGAATTCTGATGTTGTCTTGCTTTCTCTGTGTAGTTATGCAGTATATAATCTTAAAATGATCTGAACAGAATGTTGCTCATCTTGTAATGCACAATGACGAGCATTCTTACATTTCACAGGGAACTCTGAGCCCACACTCTTACTGTAACTTCCTCATTTGCTTGAACTAACCTTCCCCAAAATATCTTTTCACCCCTTTACCGGATAAGTCAGCCTATGCATTGTAGAGACACGTGTTCAATGAAAAAAATTCTTCCTGTTTCTCTAAAAGTTGCACCTTGCAGGCCCCACTCCCACTTCTTGTGAATTAGCGCGCTATCATTCTGAAGAGACAGCTAGCCCTCATACCCACCCACTTTCTTATTGAATGTCTCTAGCTGCAGCTGCACAGAACATGTGCCCAGCTGTCTAAAACTTAAAGTGGGAAGTCCTTCAGCTTTCATCCAATTATGGTCAAACTTTGTAATAATGTTACATGCAATTCAGTGGTGTTGTGTCATTACTTTGACATTCACATTTGGATTTGGAGGTTAGTGTCTAATGCAGCTTGAAAGTTATATTACACAGAAACACTTTGCACTAAGGCTTCATGATTTAGAAGAGAAAAATAACTATTATTTTTCTGCTATTGTGATTTGCCATATATGCTTAAAAAGTAGGATTTGGAGTGCATATTGTAAACAACTCCAGAAGCATTAACATTTCAGAGATGACTGAAACGTGAACTGATAACCTAATACAAGAATCCCATGTATTTCAGAACAGATGTCTAAACTACAGGCATAACAAGATTTTGCTTTTAAAAATACTGGATATTTAGATCTTTGCAAAGTCTATACACATACACACATACAAGTCTATTATCTAACTATTTCAGTTTTTTCAGTTTGATAATTTTGCTAACTCAAATTGCGATTTTGATTGGTTTAGGATATATTGTGCTGCCCTACTCTAAACACTATAGTTTACTGTTTACTGCTTTTGTAAAATACCTCTGTATTCCATAGTGAATAGCCTTGTTGTGCTGAGCAGGCCGAGTTTGCATTTGACCGAACTTTTTAATCATACACCTCGCCCACCCTTATTTGGATTGTAAATGAGGACTCGGGGCTGTGCTCTCAGGCCATGCTGTAGATGCTTTTGGGTGCTGCCTCTTGCCTCTGGATGGGCTGGTGGAGAGACTGAAGTGGGTGGTGGACAATAGTGTCAGCCCTGGTTCATCTTTCAATACAAAGTCAACAAGTCTTAACCTGTAATTAGATCATTACATTGGGCAAGATGTTGGAGGCATGTTGTGGGAGGACATTGTGGGCGGGGTTTAGATTGCCAAAGCAGAGCAAGCATGATGAGATGTGTGCTAGGCCAATGCAAAAAGTCACCAAGTTCATATCCAAGAAATTAAGTATCCCAATATAAAACATTCTTATGACCACATAATGGATATGAAGTGTCCAGGGACAGTATACAACTGAAAGAGGTAATTTTGTATTTTATATGTTAAGGACAGAAATGTTTTTGTACAGACAATAAGGTACCTTAAAATGAGTCTTGTAACTTGAAAGTAAATGTTTATCCTACAGAGAGATAAACGTTATGCAGTTGATTGTAATTGTTTCTCCACACAGGACCAAAGCATTAGTTAATTTATTGTTAGGCATATTATTCAGAAAATGTACCTTGAGGTGTTTGGTGGTTTTATAGCATACATATATTCCCTTATTTCCCAGAAAGTACATGTACTCACTCTACACAGAAATGTAAAAAAAAACACAGTTGCACTTGATTCATTTATTCAAATGTATAAGTGACTTGAGTGCCAGATAGTGTCGGTGGTTCTTGTGGTTAGGCAATGCTAGTAAAGTAGAGTACTTTACTAGGCAAGCTATAGCCACAAACTTTAGTTGGCTCGTACACTTTGTCCAGGGTTCAGCTTCACACCACACCGTCAGGTTTGTGAAAACTATTTACTCTATAATAAGTAGGCGTGACCTTTTATATTGTTTGTTCTGTCATGTGAATGCCAGTTACTTCTCAATTACAGCCAGCACACCTTACACCTAAACTGAAACTAGTCATATAGGTTACTTTATATTATCAACCGTCATGGAAACATATGGGTTGTTGGTAATGCTCTTTTAGAAAACTTGTTTAATTAGTGTAATAGTAGATTTACATTGTTTTCCAAACTCAATTTCCCAAAATAATTCTTCCTGTTGTACAGATAAGGTTGTGACAAGAAGCCTGAACTCCTGCTAGGAAAATCTGGGTGGAAGAGTTAATATTTAACTGGCTTCTTATAGTGCCTACTGTCAGTGTGCCGTTGAGCAAGGCACATGTATTTGAATACTTGCTATTAATAAAGTTTAGTGTTGTAACAATATTGTAGCATGCACAGACTAGGTAGCACAGACTGCTTGTAGAGTCACCACAGACCAAAAGTATTTCTTCACACAACAAACTTAAAAGGGTTGATTTATCTCAACTCATATCAGAACAACGTAAAATTCACAGTGTTATGAAGCAATGCTGGCCTTCTCCGTGATTAGACGTTCCAAAACATTAGTTCTTTTGGACCTTGGAAGGTTTCCAATGAATGATAAGTTGACAACCCACGTGCATTTTTCATATTCAATTATAAACCGTCATTCTACTTGTTTCACGGAGTCTCACAACGTTAGCACAGGTGCAAGAGACTCAACCCGTGCATAGGTGACAGACAAGAGCAAGTCTGTGTTTCTTTATAACACAGACTGAAAAGGGAGAGAGGGAGAGATGATGCAGTGTGAAATATCAGGTCACACTTTCTGATAATACTTGCCATTACATAAGTTTTGCTTAGCGGTAAGGGCACACATTTTGACCTGGGAAAATAACATAGTTACTAGATGCAACATAGATGATTGATGCAACAATATAACACATCAGAATCCTGGATTAGATGAGATAAACAAGTTTTATTTCATTAAATAATTGTACTATTAAAGTGTAGTTACTAAAAAGTGTTACCTAATTGCAAACTACCGGTATTGGAAATTGGCTGAATTTAGTGCACAATGTTATGTACTGCTTTTTTACATGCTCGTGTCAAAAATCAGTGACTACCTTCCATACAATTTCTTGTGCTATTTATAACAATCTTGTCATTTATAACTGATTTGACTTTCCAAACAGCGACGTCAGGTGTGAATTTAAATACACAATGGAGTGACCTATTTGCAGTGTGTTATTTTCTTTTCCAATTATACAGGTCCCACCCTGCATGAGGTAACATGGCCCAAAAAAGAGTCCTGCTGTGAGATGTATGTGTGGACATAAACTGTCATCTTCTGTGAATACGTTTTCTCTGGCCCTTCATGGCCTTATGCTAATTGACTCATCATGTTGGCTTTAATACAGCATCTCTTAGTACAAAGAGGCCATTCTGACCCAAGCTCAGAGGGAAATGAATTTCCCACATGCTTTTCAGAGCTTTTGTCCCAGACACCCAGCTGTACTCAGCAGCAGGCGGTCGCATGGAAAACTGTCCTGACTGTAATGAGTCCTCTAGACTGCCTCGTGTAGGAGGCCACACTTACTTATAACTTAATTATTTCAACATGTACATGTTTGCTTTACCAAATATATCCTCTCCTTTTGTTACTGTACATTTTTTGTCAACATTGGCTTGGACTTTTTTTAAAAGTTAGTCGAAATATACTGGGATTATTAATCATTACATTGAATATAACATTGGTTACATTCATTTGTTACATTCAGTGCACAGGGGATGCCATTGCATGCTTATGCTACTTAACATGTGTGTCTCACTGCATCTAAACATGTTGAACTTTGAATTTCTTTGTATTAGATCCAACACTTTTGTTGACCCCAAAAGACTTTTTTTTTTTTTTTCCTTTTTGATTACTTCTAGAACAAGTGTTAATCACCATAACAGAGACAGTATAAAAAGTGCTTTCAATCAGGTTCAGTCTTTGGACATGTGACCTCGCTGTGGGCCTTTAACACACAGACGAATGGGGCCCACCTGCTCAGAGCTGGTCTCCTTGTAACGTGCACTGCCTACTTTACAAGCCCTCTCCCTCGGCCTGTTCCTAAGCAACAGCCACTCCTTGTTTACCTT